AACTCAACACATCTTTTTTTTAATGACTTTTAGGCTTTTAGACTTTTTAGGTTAACATTTTGATAAAAGAGTGTTTATCATGACAGCAGTGCCATACAAATCTAACAATGTCAGCCAATCATTAATATCCTACTTAAAAAAACGATACTCTGCTTTGTGTCTGCTGAAATGACGTGGACAGGGTGCTTAATGGAAAACTAAAGATATGGTTGTTGACTGTTTCTGTTACAGGGTGGAGTTTCAGAACAAGTTCTACAGTGGAACAGGCTACAAGCTGAGCCCTTTTTGTTTCTCATCTCTGATCAATGCATCACCTCCTATATGATCGCCAAATTTTTCACTTGGGATTGGCAAATGGTTATGTTAACCTATGTATATAATTAACTACTTGGACTCAATTGCACACATCAGATTTACTGCCTGTCTTAACAATGGTCCTCTATTGGGTTATGAAATGGTTTAATTCACTTGAACAAAAAGCATCATGGTATTGATTCCTATTTTTGCATTGGTAGAATGAGAATGTGTCTCCAAATAATGAATTACAACGGCAAAGTATGAACTGAACAAATGTACCTTTTATGGCCCCTTGCTAATTGTTTTCACTTACTGAAATGTACTGCTTTCTAATCACATTTTTACCCCAACAATAGTTAGTAATCATTTACTTTTTGCCTTATGAACATATATTAAAGGAGTCTATTATGAAAAGGGAAAGCACATCAATGAATGCATGTGTTCTGCAGTCTAAGGGAATGTAAGGTCGTTGACATTGCTCTTGATCATTGAGCTGTGCTCCAACAAGCCAGTCCATGAGATAATTTTTAATGATGGCAGGGAAAAATCCGAATGATCTTCATAAGCCAAAGAAACTTTTCTTTCATTGACTTTTCTTCCAAACACGACAGATATTTATTGGTGATTAAAAGTTTGTCATGTGCCTTACTTGAACTGAGTGCTTGTATAAATCCAATCTTTCGGACAGATCAAAACATTGTCATCATGCCACTAAGACATGTACCGGTATCCATTTTTGTCTGACCGTTTGCACTGTAAAAATTGAACAAATCTCAGCTGAAAATTAAACATGATTCTCTTGTCATTCATTTTACCTGTTGCATAGTCATGCTATTTATTGTCACATGTGTTAGATTGTTTTTCTTCAATGATGATGGTACAACAAGCATTCAAATCATGAACTGAAAGTGACAGTACGACCAGTAAAACTACGTAAAAAGTCTATTACTAGACGTGTAGCATTCAAAGAGTTACCTAAATTGAGTATAAAGACTTATCAAAATAAACTGCATAATAAGAAGGAAGTACAAATATACAACTATAATCAACTCTCATGAAAATACTAAGAAATCAAAAGTTCCTCTGAAATTTATTGAAGTATAAACAAAAATTAAAGTGCAAGTTTAACATTATAATTGTTATATCCTCTAAATTACTTGATGACTGTCATTTTTTGTAGTAAATGGACAAAACATTTTTTGGTCAATGAATATGGGGTGTACAATAGTGCCCCCACTTTTGTGTTTATTCAATTACTAACAGTACCTTCAGTTGTAACAAAACTATTTGCACTGTATCTTTTGCTCACCTGATGTCACATGATTACACGTTCATCTGCATCATTTCAGCTTTGAACGAGACATTTGAGATTATTTTATTTGAAGAGGGACAGCGTACATTAATAAACATTCAGACAGATGTAAATGTAGCTGAGTTAGCCAGGAGGATCATTTTCATGATAGTTATGACAGTCCCTTTGCCAGGCGTTCTTTGGCTTCATAGAATCAAACATAACCCATTAACATACGTTCAGTAGTATAGAAATATACAGATATATGCAATACAGTTTGGGTAATGAACAAATAATATCCAACATAGAACATGATACAGTTTATGTTACCATGGGAAGGTACAGCATCAGTTTGACACTGTTGGTTCTCAATAAACCAATTATATTTAAATGAATGATAGGATGTTGACTCTCTATTTGATTGCGGTATTTAATTCCACTGATGTGATGCTCTAATGGAAAAGACACCCTTGCTCACGAAAGTGGTTTTCCTCAGTGGGACTGTGCAGTTCCCCTTAGCTGCTCCTCTAATGGTCCTGTTTGTGGCAGTAGTGTAGTTATACTCCCTGTCATTCTGATACGTCGCCTTATTGCATTGGAATAGATATGATGTTGTTGTGATGATAACTGTTGTCACCATAAGATGTTTGACTCTGTCGTGATGAGTCATCATAACTGGTGCTTGGAGGTGTCATTTAACTGTTTTGTTATACAGTATACCTGTCATCGTGATGTGTGGTCTAGAGCCACTTTCAGGTTTTTACAGTGAATTAGCTGTTTGTGTCTGGAGAGGGAATGTAAAAGATCTTCAAATACACTAGAAGAAGTTGTTACTCCACTAACATCATTTCAAATCATTTTGAAGTAAAAGGGTTCAATAGACTTTGTATAAAGAGCTTGATGGCAAAAGGAACAATAATCAACATGATGACTGAGGCTTAGTTAGAGTGGCTAAAAGGATGCTTCTAAGAAACAGGAAATAGAAATATTTACGTTTAGGACAGGTCCCTATAATGACATACAAATAATATACCAATAAAAATAAAGACAGGCTAAAATAGCTAAATAAAATACCAATTAAACACAAAGACAAATTATTGAACAGGACCCCCTTTATCTCAATTGTCTTTCATTCCTGCTGACTTCTGGCCATTAACCTCAGTTCCATCTCACTCTCGTCATAAGGTTTCTCTCGATGTGTTTCGATATCGCCACAGGTCTTTAATGTTAAATTCTGCTGTTGTGTTTTCACTTGAAAAATGTCCCATCTCTCAGGAATCAGTTCTTTATTGAAGAACATTGAGGCCAAGAAGGAGCAAAACAGAGTGGCAACGATGGTGGACAACATGCAAATAGTGCTTACAGGAGCACACTGGACATATTTTCCATCCTGTGCAACCTGGGAACTGAAGAACAGCAGGAAGCCCAATGGATGGCTCCCTGCACGGTACTCTCAACAGTACTCCCAATAACAAGCCCATAATGGAGCCATGTCCATTACAGCTGTTAAAGTAGAGGACACAGATGAGTTGAGGGAACATTATAGTGTAGGCTATGCCTCAGCCAAGGATCCAGAAAACCATATTGCTGTTCTGTAAGAAGGTGAGAGATGTTCCAGCCAAGCCCGCCAACACCACTGTGATGCGGATCACCCACTGGAGCTCCCTGTCTGATGCCTGCAGGAACAAAAAAGACCTGGAGCTTAAGGAAAATAATCAAATAAAATCTAGTATTTTCCTCATGTCTCCCCACACTTTGGTCCTCAAGATCTTTTTATAGATATTGGATGTGATGATGGAGGACACTGCCAGTAAACCTGAGTCTGTTGATGACATCACAGCAGGAGCTACAGCTCCAATACCAATGACCGAGTTATAGGTTGGACTGAGGTTCTGCAGAGCATGGGGCAGAATCAGACCCGCCTCTCCACGCGCGTATGGGGATGGGGAGCCGTACATGGTCAAGTTCCAATCTGAAGAAAAGAAGTGGCATTAACAAGCATTGACTTATTAGTTTCTTTTGATTAACTGTATCACCGTACCTGTCGATGCTGCGACTGCTCCGATCAACACAGATGGAACTGAGCTTATAAAGACGAGTGGAGCTGCAATGAAGCAAGTGATCCTGGCTGCGGCTGATGAGGAGGCTGACAGGGTCCTCTGGTGAAAGTCCTGATATCCAATGTTACCAAGTGTCCTAGAAGCAACAAAACACAACCTCATTAGGCAGATTATCCCACCTTACCTTCTTTTACAATCCAACAGAAATATTTATATATTAATAATTTTAAAGCTGATTTTTTTTCCATAAGAACCCAGCTACATGCAGCCTCGACACCACACCTTCTACACTCAACAAAGTTATGGGCACAGTCTGACAAAGTATTTTATAAATTACTAACAGCTCACTTTTAACTTGTAATTTTCAATGCTCATGCTCAACATGCTCTGATCTTTCTTCTTTTAAAGTAACCAAATCTTTAACCCATTGTTTTTATTCATTTAAGGCCAGCTAATGAACTCCCATTTTTATCCAAAGTTTTAAGTAATTTAAACACAGATTTTAGACTTTATGTGTCAGAAATAAAATCTTTGAAATGTTGGCATTTGGCAGAGTAGATCATGACGTTTTGAGACCTGGAGGCGTCAAGGACACTGCGCTCAGTTGGTTTTATTCCTATTTTTTAGACATCTTTTGCGATCACCACAGTAAATTACTCATCTTGCACTTTGGCTCAGTTGTAAGTCAACTTTCATTTTCTATCTATATGCTTCCACATGTGCTTTTTTATGCTTCTTTTTTTTGCTTTACTGATTACTACTTCTCCTGTATTCACATTTTGTTCTTGTTTATTTTTCATTTAGTAGACTACTCTCTGTTTCACCTGACTGTTGATCTTTATGATGTTATCATTCTAATACAGTTAGTTATAGTAATATAGTTCCTTCCTTTGCAATGTCTGCTAAAGCCCTTTAGCATTTGTTTTTAAGGCCATAAAAGCATTTTGTGTGAGTTATTTTGACCAAATGTTAAAGATACGTTTCTTTTTGGCCATCTAAACTTTTTGTGGTTATTAATGTATGACAGCTGAAGGGACCATTGTGCAGAGGGGGGAAGACACACTGCAAATGACCTGCGTTGGAAAATCAGTCTAGTGCTGCTGCGGCAAGACCTCAGCCTTCATGTGAAGGCATGTTATACAAGGTAAGCTTGCAGAAAGTGCTATCCCTTTATTTGTAGTTGTGTTACTCAATTATTAACGTGATCATTAAAATCATTGCAATAAAAAACAGTTAAGTTCAAGTTTTTAAAGTGGCTGTAATGTCCTCCTTTTAATGACTGTATTGTAAATTAAAAAAAAGTACCCCTTACCAATAATAAGAAATGATCAATCCACATAAATGCTGTTTCTTTATCTTTCTTTATTTTTACTTACAGAGCAAGAGCATCAAAAATGTGATGTAATAGTAAAATTTAACTAGCACCCTTCTGATGAAGTCTTACACCATGTCATGGCCTAGAATCATTTATGATTCAGACTTGTATGAAAAAATAGAGAAATGATGACAACGCTCAACAACAAACATATCAGAAACCCATCAACCTTTTTTTTCTTTCAGTGGTGCTAATTTATCTCTTTTAACATCAACTCATTGACATTCTGATCATCAGGTTTTTCTATTCTTTTGCTGCCATTACTCAGTAATATTGGATGTTGCCTTGGTTTGTGTGTTTTCACTTTATATATATCCCACTTCTCAGGAACAAGTCCTCTATTGAAGAGTGCTGAGACCAGGTAGGAGAACAATACAGTGGCAAAGATGGAAGATAGCATGTAGATAGTCCGAACAGGAGCACACTGGACATATTTGCCGTCCTCCAGGACGCAACCTGGGAAATGTAGAACAGCAGGCAACCCTATGGATGGCTCGCCGCTGAGAGCTCTCAAAAACAGTCCAAGTAACAAGCCCATAATGGAGCCATAGCCATTACTTATGTTGAAAAAGAGGACGCAGACAAGTTGAGGGAACATTATAGTGTAGGTTATGTCAGAGCCCAGGATCCACAAAAGCATAATGCTGTTCTGTAAGAAGGTGAGAGATGTGCCAGCCAAGCCCACCAACACAACAGTGATGCGGATCACCCACTGGAGCTCCCTGTCTGATGCCTGCAGGAAGAAAAAAAGACTGAAGGAGCTGATTGGAAAACAAACAAGTCCATTCACCTTGTACCTGCTTCCACTTGGTCACATAATAAACAGCTTTTGATTTCCACATTGAATTACATGCTTCATTTACTCCACAAAATATTGCTAAACTGCCAACTCTACTGAACCGTCTTAGCGCCATTAAAGATTGGATGGCAGACTATTGCTTACAACTAAACTCTGATAAAACAGAAGTCATTTTTAGCGCTCCTGTGGCCATTGTGCCCAGTGTTACTGAAAAACTTGGTTCCCTCTCTATGTTTGTGAAGCCTGTTCTGTGCAATCTAGGCATTTCTTTTGGTCAGTCTCTGTGCCTTGACCAGCATATTGATTGTCTAGTTCTCTCTTGTTTTTATCAGCGAAGATATATATTGCCATACTTAAGCCCATTGGTCCCACAGTTCAGATGGAGATGATTATACATGCCTTAATTTCTTCCCATTTGGATTACTGTAACTCACTTTTTACATTTCTTAACAAAACATATCTAAACCATTTACAATAAGTACAAAATGCTGCAGCCAGACTATTAACCAGGTCCTCCAAAAGGTCACATATCACTCCAATTCTGTTTTCTTTACACTGGCTTTTCATCAATTTTAGAATACAACTCAAGATTCTTGTTATTACTTTCAAAGCCCTGCATGGACAGGCAACGGCCTACATCACAGAACTTTTACGGCATTACACTCCTAACAGATCTCTTAGGTCTTCTGATCAGGGTTTGCTGGTAGTCCCACACACCAGAATGAAGACCAAGGGAGACTTTGCTTTCGTTGGTTGTAGCGCCAACACAATGGAATGCTCTGCATCTGGGTCTAAAATTTGTAGGCACGATTGACTCTTTTAAAAAGAGACTTAAGACCTACAGTATTTGTTTAGACTTGCTTTTGAATAATATGTTTTGTATATTGTTGCTTTTTTCTGTCTGTTCTCATCCTTTTGTAAAGCACCTTGTGACTCTCATGCTTGTGAAAGGGGCTATACAAATAAAGTCATTATTATTATTATTATAATTATTCCTTTCCTCGTGTCTCCCCATACCTTGGTCCTCAAGATGTTTTTATAGATGTTGGATGTGAAGATAGTACTGGCTGACAATAAAGCAGAGTCTGTTGATGACATCACAGCAGCAGCTATAGCTCCAATACCAATGATGGAGATGTAGGGTGGACTGAGGTTCTGCAGAGCAATGGGCAGAATCAGACCCGCCTCTCCACGCTCGTATGGGGATGGGGAGCCGTACATGGTCATGTTCCAGTCTGACAGAAAAAGGTGACATTAATAAGCATTGTCTTATCAGTCTTATTGATTAACAGTATCACTGTACCTGTTGATGCTGCGACTGCTCCGATCAACACAGATGGAACGCCGAGTATGAAGACGAGTGGAGCTGCAATGAAGCAAGTGATCCTGGCTGTGGCTGATGAGGAGGCTGACAGGGTCCTCTGGTGAAAGTCCTGATATCCCAGGTTACCAAGAGCCTTACAAACAATAAAGAAAACAATGCCTTGGATATAAGCTTGATCCACTTTATACATCAAGCACAAAAACACTTTTAATTTGAGTCATCCTGACCAACATTTTCTCTCGCCGTAACTCCTCTACTCCACTAATCCCATGCACACAGCGCAACATGAGCTGAATTTGTCAACAGAGCGTTCAGACAAGGTTATACCCATTTCTCAATTATAAAAAATACATTTTTGTTAATTAATTTGTTAATTATTTCTACACTTGTTGGAAAAGTGAACAATCTGACATAACTCAACATGATAAATACCTATAGAGACTAAAGACAGAAACCATGTTGAGAACTTTTTTATTTGAAGTGTAATTTCATTTTAAAGTCAACATGTTCCTTTTTGTTAACACGGAGGAGGCTGAGATTATGACCTTTACCGCAGCTGATCGTTAGGTGGAGCTCCTAATGTTTTGGCTTCACTTTAAGGGAGCTGTTATGTCGTCTATCTTTTTATACAGTCTATGGTGAGATAGCCCTGCTAGCTACACGTTGTTTTGACTTCCTTTTAGCTCAATGCCATACACTTTGCTAGAAGACATCACAACAGACATACAGTAATCAGGAATATGCTACTGTTTTTAAGGGGATATCTGGTTGGCTCAAGCATTTTATTTATTTTATTTTGAACTCTGACTGGGCAGATGTGCTAGCTCTGGTGTGTTTGGAAATTGAATAAAGACAGTAATTAGTTAGTTTAAAAAGGGTGTTCTATCAGGATTTCTTTAGAGTGGGATGATTTAAAACTCACACCTATGTGGTATCATATCTTTTTTCAAGGGCAGAGAGTGAGTTGTTAAATGGAACTGTAGTTGAACCATATTTTTATTGCATTGAAAAGTGCAAATGTTAAAGATGACCTTATAAATTACTCTATTCTCCCTCAGAGTAGAGCCATTTATCTGATGATCTAAGTCCCTGTATGTCATGGCAGTGTGCCAGTGTGCACAAAACCTGAATCCTTAAACTGAAACAGAATTAACATGTTATTTGTTTATGAATTTACACTGGTGCTTTTTCTAATTTCAAAAAGCCCTCCATTAAAGAGGAACATTAACATTGAAAACAAACTTTCCTTTCTCTTAGAGGAGCAATATGTTACTCTGACCCCTAGAGTTTAGCCAGCACCTCAACATAACATATTTTCTTTATGTCTGATTATATAGTAAGGTCATTTTAGGATTTAATTTGGTAGATATCTTACATATTGGTCATTTAAGTAGTCATTGATAATGGCATGTTTAAAATACAATGCAGTTAGACAAAGGACTGAACAAAGTTCTCACCAATATTAAGAAATTATCAATCCACCTCCACATGTTTTCTTTACCCACTGAACCAACCCAAGGGGCTTGGTAGGTAAAGTTGAAAGCAGTCCTGGTTATATCAGCTGAATAGGGGTTCATCAGGATGAAGGGGACACATAGCCACTGCAGAAAAGACATTAACATAGCAAACAAGCATATTCATGTAATTAATTCAGCTTGTATCACAGACTTTTGGGATCTGTCACTTCACATAGGATTTTTGGTGTAATAAGTACATTTGTAAAGGCCTGTCAGAATACTAGCGAAGCACCATCAACATTGAGTGGAAGCAACTGAATGTTTGGCAGCACTTTGAGTCCAAGACAAATTTCCCCAAGGGGACAATAAAGTGTATTTTGAGGTTTTGTGGACTAAGTTTTCCATGTTAGTGAGAAACTCACCAAGCTTAAGAATATGAGGGTCAGCTGTATGACGTCTGTGTAGGCTACAGAGTACAGGCCCCCCAGCAGTGTGTAGATGATGGCTACCGCAGCAGAGATCCAAATGCACAGCGTGTAGGACAAATCTAGGATTACACTCATTGTTGCACCTATGAATAAACAAAATGAATTATATTGAAGGGGCTGGAAGTCATTACGGCAGCTCCCCCTGCTGATCCCTACAGTGCAGACTGTAGTATCAAATGTAAAATATGTCAGCGCACTTCAAGAGGGATACTTTGGCTTCACTTTTTGAGTTGGAGACACATCATCCATCTTCATATACAGTCAGATGTATTAGCTCTTTGACTTGCACCAAATGCCAGCTCGCCTCCACTGTAGTACACCAGCAGCTTTGACAGCAGCTCCTGAAGCTTTACATGGTAACATGAGGAGATCGGCTAGATTTTATAATAGTACTGGGTCACGAAATGAAGTTTTATAACATGCTGCTCAGGGAACCAGGATCAGATCTATGCTTCAATGCATAAAACGGGTATGCAATGTACTTTTACCATGGCCTATACTACAAATGCATCAGTCAAGTAGTTTAATGAATTGAGGCAGCTCAAAATCTTTTTTTTTATTTTTTAAAAGGAGCTTTTAAGTCTCTCCTCACAGTAATCTGTTGGACAGATTGACATGTGACAGGTTCACAGCATAACATATATGAATTACTGTTTATTCTATTTTTTTGACTCTACTTTGTATACATTGGAAACCAAATTGGTGAAGGTTTTGAGTTTAATGCAGGTTCTATACTTTTCTCAAATGTAAGGACAAATTCTCAGGGTATCTTTTTTGTTAGCAAGCAAGTAATTAACTAAAGGATGAAAAGCTGAAATGACTGACTTGAGTGTATCACTTACCCAGGCCAATAAGAGTTCCTGTAACCCAGAGTATATCAGCTATCAGCAGTACCACGGACAGAACTCCACTTAATACATTTCCGTACTTAATCTGCAACGGATCCATCATTGTCACATATTTTCTTTCCCTCATTGTCTTAGCAAAGAACAGCCCACCTTAATAGTCAAAAAGGGAAAGAGATCAGTGTCATTGCAATTGTCAGCTTAAAACAATTGTTCAGCTTTGCACTCCTATCACATTGTTAAACTCACAACAGATTATGAGGTATACTGAAGTATTATATAGTATTCTACTTTTCAAATGTATAGTCTTCAGTGTAAGTAATTCATATTCTATAATGTTAAAGTCATGTTTGTGTTTTACAAGTTGAACCTGTACACCGTATACACTTATGCCATATATACAGCACAAGTCAAGTACAGTTGAAGTACAAATTGTTACTTAGAAAGTTATATCTATAAACCTCATTGCAATGCTACTAATAAGGATACTATGAGTACTGTATTATCACCTTACCAACAATGAAAGACAGGGCTGCTGTAGCTGGCATTACAGCCCAGGTCAGTCCCATGGTTGGAGTATACACTGCCTCTGTCATACCAACGATGAAGCCCCCACCTACAAATGTTGCTGTGGGAAGTATAGATATATGTTTATGAGTACAACTAACACACACCCACTCACGGGGGCGTATCCAGACTTTATTTTTATGTGGTGGCCCAAATTACAGGTGGCGCAACCTGTCATTTAAAAAAGAAGGAACATTGTAAATGCCACACCCAATTGATTTATGGTATGATACAACTAAAAAGGTAAGGCTACGTGGTGGATGTGGCAACATTTTGGTATTGTGTTGAATATCATAATGAAGAAAATTTTTTTCACATATTTTCATTTTAAACAATGGCTACCAATGGTTACATATTCAACTTTACACATCTAGAAAAAGCATGCTTCAACTGCTGAAAAGCAGTTAAAGCGGTTCTGCAGGATACCAGTCCAATGCAATGTCATTCACCAGTTATCGATTAAGTTATCATGTCCCGCTTAACTATAAATCAACATATTTTCAACATCAGTGTTGCGGTGCTAAATCAATCATATAGTCAGTACTATAGGCCAATGTTGTTTCAACAGCAGTCATCAACATGACCTTAAACGTGTCATCCAATGTCTATTTTGCATTGAGATTTCAATGTCAACCAAAAGGATGATTAAGACGGAAAATCCACATGAGGCTATTTCAGTGATCGTTCGCTATCTGGGAGAGGTTTATTTATTTGTTAATTGTTGAATAGCTCACGATGTCCTGCCCTATCTAACAAACTGTTTGCCGGATGAAGGTCTAGTAGCCTACCGAACGAACATCAATAAATGTTTGTTTACAATTTTATGCGGGAGTTTGCCTTTAAGTTTTTGATGGACACATTGCTTTCACTGTCTTATGAAATTGGTGTGCAAAGGTTTTTTTCTATTTTGAGACAGCATACTGTAATTTTTTCCTCTGCAGACACAACTTCCTCCAAGTCAGTGTGGTTCTTTTTTTCAGAAAAGCCACAGATTCTTGCAGTAGTTATCTTTTCAGGGTCCTGATATTTTATGACAATGGGAAGATGATGATGTGAAGTATCATATCTGCACAAGTAAAGTCCCAACACAACTGTCGGATAGTTTATGTTTTATTATCTGCACTTGTCTGCCTTGTTAAAGTGTCAAGGTTATGCAGAACCAGTTTGTGTCCTGTTCATCATTTTACAGATAAACAAGTTCTTGCAAGTTGAAGTGAAAACTTCTCTTGAACTAACTGTTTTTACCGACTACACAAGGAAGTAGCCTATTGCCTTATTAGTAAAACCTCATTTGAGAAAAGGCTATAGACTAAAATAACGACTTTATTCGTTTATTCTTTAAAGGCTTTTAGGGTTCTCCTTTCATCATTTTCATCTCGTAAATTTACGAGTTTAATAGGCTAAAATTTTAGATTATTATTTTTTAACGTGGCCCTAATCCTCCGTCGTAGATAAGAAGTGCCAAAAGGGGATAGTATTGCCTAGTTCTGACAGTGAATGTTTTTCACTTAAAAAATGTGTTGATACAGTATGATTAGACTTATATAAATTGGCTATGATAGGCTACTTAACAATGTCACACATGTTAACAGCTTTTTGTCGGAGGTTGCAAATATGAGGAGTTGTACATCATACACGTAAAATTTTACCACTTAACCTACATAAAAGAGTTAAGGGCTATGGTTCTCATTGTGACGTAAGCCTCTACTAAAAGTATTTTTCGTTTTGTTTTTATGTAACCCCATCCCAATGCCCTGCACTGACCTGTCATGGTGAAGACTCCCACCACCATGCTGATCCCTCGGTTCCCCAACAGAGTCATTTCTGTTTGGTCGGCCTGGCTGCTGTCATGCAGCCGTTTTGACTTCATGGCGGCCCAGATTCCAGTGCCCAGTACCAGCAGGTAGAAGAAAACCATTACCACCAGCCCTGGAACGTTGAGGCCCATCATGCACGGACAGGCTGACAGACTGAAGCATATAGAGTCCTACTGCCTGTTTTAACAGTGCTGAACAAGAAAGACAGGATTCCAGAGAAAGGAATTATAGGCTACTCTGTGTAAATTTAACTAATGCTTTGAGCAATTTAGTTAAAGAGTGTAAATTTGCAGACCCTCTAAACTAGTTGGTGTTCTTCAGCGTGTGGGAAACTTTCCTACAGCTGCTTCTCATGATTGAATTTTGTATTAAATTCGCTGTTGCCTACCTTTGGAAGATGCACTTGTATCAAGTGATTGTTAAAATACATTTTTAACTTAAGAAAAGCCTAATGTTGTAAGAAGGAAAATCTGTCCAAGACTATCTAAGAATTAAATCATCAATCAATCATCAAATCATCAAAAGAGTAGCACATATAAGTCTTCAGGTTCCAAGACTGCAAAAGACTAGGCTACAAGAAAACACAAAAGTCAGCACACTCCATTTCCTTCAAAAATTGGTATTCCGGTAGAGCAGCAGCGTACAGATCAACAACAGCTGCGTCTTCATCAAACATGGAGCATCTTGTCCTAAAGGTTTCACTAATAAGGAAATAGGCTACTTCCTTAGTAGTCTGTAAAAACAGATAGTTCAAAAGATGTTTTCACTTCAACTTGCAAGGAACAGGACACAAACTGCCTCTGCACATGAGACACTTTAATAAGGCAGACCGATAACAGACACGTGTTGGGGCAGATCTGAAACTACAGATGCCTTTGGCACATCATCATCTTCACATTACCATAAAATATCAGGACCCTGAAAAGATACTGCAAGAAACTGTGGCTTTTCTGAAGAAAGAACCACACTGACATGGAGGAAGTTGTCTGCAGAGGAAAATACTTTAAGGGTTTTACTTCATAATTTTGCACAGGCTGGTCTCGAACTCGTTAATTTACGAGTTCAATCTTGTAAATTTATGACTTTAATCTCGAAATTTGAAAAAGAAGGAGAAATATAGTTACTAAGAAGCATTTTCTTTTGTTAAAATGTAGATCCCATGAAGCATACACGTCTCTCTGAAGGAGAGACATATTTCTGTCCCCGTCTCTCTTGGGAGGTTTTATTCTATACGCCTTGAAACCTCAGAGAACAAACATTATGGCCCATAGCACTAAAATGTCTCTTTGCTGAAGATATCTCGTTCTCTACTGCTTTTGTGTTCTGAAATACAAGTTTTTAATTCTCCCTTACCGATATAACACAAGCCACAAGGGCATTTCAAAAGGTAAACCACAAATCTCGTTTTGCACAAAATTCTACTTTAAATACAAAACGTTTACCAGAGTGAGTGAGGGTGTGAAAAAGAGCCTCCTCTAATCATGGCTATGCATTGGACACAGAACAAGGGAAATTACCCCCAGGTAAAAAATGTCTGTGGGTGAGTATAACAGTCAGCTCTAACAAGTACATCCCTTAGATTACTTGCAGTTTCAAGGGCAAAAAGCAGGAGGATTGAAAAAATTGTGACCTATCTGAGGATCATTAGACAGAATGTGCCACTGTTTTTTGACGCATGTCTTTATGTTATATGTGTTTTTTTCAGTTGAACCAAAAGGATAAGTAAATCAAACAGGGCTTATAGTTTTGAAACCAATACAGAATCTCTGATTAAAGGAAACAGGAGAAAATGTGGTAGCACAGACTAAATTACAATTATTGGAGATGGACAGTTTAGAAGTCGAAGTCTTTTCAGAGCTCAGCGACCTGTTTATCAAACACACTCTCTGTACTACAAATTCTCTTAATCCTTAACAGCTGAAAGCTAAACCTTTTTTAAGGCCTGGAGGATGATAACTCGAGAAAAAACCCAGTTAGTATCAGTTTTTTTTTGCTCTCAAGCTGCTCTTATTTATTAACTAGCACATCTAAAAAAGAGACTGACTGCAGGCTGAACTCTAGATGTTTTAGAGTGCACCCTGGAGTTAATAAATATACACTCTAAACTTCTAGTTGATGAGTGGCCGACAAAATGAAAAACACATCACCAACAAAGCAAAACCAACATTTCAGAAAAGGATCAAACACAGTTTTATGTTACACAAAATCCTCTTTGAATTTCTCCATTAAAAAGATTAGGAGACTCCCCATAATCCCCGACACTGTAAATAATAAACTCAAACTTGAAATAGTTTTTGTAAGGGTCAACTTCATCATCTCAACCAAAACTCTGTAGGGGGAGTGAGGTTCTTTCTCTTGTTAAGATAATATGATAATATAATAATAATAATAATAATAATAATAATAATAACTTTATTTATAGCACCTTTTAAAAACACAGGTTTACAAAGTGCTTTGACAAACAGCAAAAACAAGAACAAAGCAAGCTAAACCAAACACAGAAGAACATAAACAACAGCAAGAACATAACAAATGCAAAATACTAAAAATAATTAAATACAATTCAACAGAAAAGAACCCAAAGTGCACGATACCCAACAGACATATATAACCCGACCATCACAAGAACCATTATAAAAACCCAGGCAACACAAGAACCCAACAACACGAGCTGAGACCAAGAGGACCACAGATTTAAAAAGATGTAAGAAACTAAAAGTATAAATATAGAACATAAATAGACAAAGTAAGATCAGAAATTGCCAAGTTAAAACATAAGAGGAGTTAAGATAAGAGCATAAATACGAGATAAGAGCATAAATAAAGAACATAAATAAAAGGACAGTAAGAAGTAAAAGAAGATAAAAATAGTAAAACCAGTAAGAAAAGACATTAAGAAGACGACGTCACATAAAAGCAAGTCTGTAAAAGTATGTTTTAAGAAGGGATTTAAAAGAATTGAGGGAATCTGCGAGTCTTATCTCCTGAGGGAGGGCGTTCCAAAGTCGAGGGGCCCTGACTGAAGGGGCCCTGACCTTTAGTTTTAAGTCTCGACTTTGGAACGACCTGGAGGCCCCCACCTGAGGATCTAAGACTGCGGGCTGGCTCATATGGTGTCAGTAGCTCTGTTATATAGCTTGGAGCCAGCCCCGTCCATGCTTTAAAAGTAATGAGTAAAATCTTAAAATCGATTCTAAAACTTACAGGAAGCCAATGTAATGAAGCTAAAATTGGAGTGATGTGATGTCGTCTGTTACAACCAGTAAGAAGCCTAGTTGTAACATTCCGGAAAAGAGGGAGTTACAGTAGTCAAGTCCGGAGAAAATGAGGACGTGAATGATCTTTTCAAAGTCTGGTTGGGTTAGTATTGTTTTAATTTTGGACATGGTGCGTCGATGGAAGAAGCATGATCGGACAACTGTTTTAATATGGGATTCAAAGGTGAGATTGCAATCAAATGTTATTCCTAGATTTCTGGCAGTGGGTTGGACATTGGCGAATAAGGGACCGAGGCTGCTCTTTGAAATATGAGTGGAGTTTGGCGGGTTGAATATTATGATTTCAGATTTAGAATTGTTCAGTTGGAGAAAGTTTTGTGCCATCCAGCAGTTGATATCGTGTAGACAGTTTCTGACAGCAGCTAGGCTCCTAGGGTCCTCAGGTCTCAAAGGAAGGTATATCTGTGTGTCGGCTGCGTAGCAGTGAAAGGAGACTTTGTGGTGTTCAATTATTTGGCCAAGAGGCAGCATATAAATGGAGAATAAAACGGGACCTAAAACCGAACCTTGCGGTACACCACAGATAATGTTAGAGGTAGAGGAGGAGTAGTTATCGATGGTGACCGCAAAGGTTCTTTCTAAAAGATAAGAGTAAAACCAGCTAAGTGCAGTAACCTGTAAACCAAACCATTTTCTGAGACGATCAATTAAAATTGTGTGATCAACAGTATCAAAAGCTGCGCTAAGATCTAAAACAATTAAAATTGAGCCCTCCCCTCTTATCTGCTGCTAAAAGAAGGTCATTGGTTACCTTGAGGAGGGCCGTCTGTGCTGTGACAAACTCTAAAACCGGATTATTTTCAGTCATAAAAGATAAAAGTTGTGTTGAAACCACCTTTTCTAAAACTTTTGATAAAAATGGAAGTTTTGAGATTGGTCTAAAATTGTTAAAATCAGTGGGATCAAGGTTGGGTTTCTTTAAAGTGGTTGGACCACAGCATGTTTAAAAGCAGAGGGGACTACACTTTCCGCCAAGGAACTATTAATAATGGATATAATACTGGGTCCAACTGTGTTAAAAAACCTCTTTGAGAAACGTTGTGGGAATAAAATCAAGGCTGCACGTAGCTGATTTCATGTGGGTTAAAATTTCAAATAAAAAGGTCAAGGACACCGGCTCAAAACTGCTAAAACTGTTAAGTTCCCTGCTGGTGTCTAAAATACGGTCTGGGTGGATGATTTGTTGCCTAATGTCCTTGACTTTATTAGTAAAATAAGTTAAAAACTTCTCACACAGATCCTGAGAAGGATCAGTAAAATAAGAAGGGGAGGGGGTGGTGATTGATTCTAAAACCTTAAATAAAATTCTGGGGTTAGAATGATTGGCTAAAATCAGATTAGAATAAAATGCTGCTCTTGCATCTTTAACTGCCTTTTGGTATTGTTTCATTGTATCTCTCAATATTTCATAATATTTCCACATGGCTGTGGAGCTCTATTAGTCTTTTTGTCTTTATAGGGACCAACAGAGTCCAGCACAGTTTGACAGGTGAGATTAAAAGAGGAGACCAGCTCCTCTGTGTTAAAATTTTGGTAAAAGGCAGTTGAAGAGACAGAAATAAAAAGATCCTTAAACTTGCTAGCAGACGTAGAGTTAAAAACCCTGCAGGTGCCTTGCTAATAACTGAGATAAAACCATTTTGAATAAAACCAGTTTGTAGTGTGACACACAAGATATCCTTTGTCTCAAAGCTGTTAGTGCTGAGACCACTGTATAAAACAAGATCAAGTCTGTGGCCCTTAGAGTGAGTGGGTTCCTGTATTGCCTGAGTAAGGTTAAAAGATTCTAGAATATCCATAAAATCACCCGTGAGAGACTGAGAGGGGTAGCAGACATGTATGTTAAAATCACCTAAACAAGGATTTTATCATACTTAAAAATAAAATGTGATAAAATATTATTTTGGGTGTGAAGAGATAATAGCAGAATGTAACTAAACCCTTGTTTTTGGTTATGGGACCGAAGATTACACCAATTTGGTAGAATGACCCATATACAGTATGGATGTGGCAGTTATGCTAAGAGTTGTTTGAGCCATGTAAAGTCACAACATGATTTTATACTTGTAAATCCTTTGTTAATGATTAAATCAAACACGTGATTTTCCTTTTAAGAAAATATCCAGTGGCAACATAAAATAAATACAATCAGACATTCACAATAAATCTAAGTTAGGAGGCTTTTATTTCCATCAGTCTATAAAATGACCCTGCCTTTATTTGGGACAGGCGTCAATACTAGACAAGTTATTTTCAAGAAAACGCATGCACCCTAAAAATGTGACAGCCTATACATTTGTAAATTTAATACAGAACTAGTTTATTTACATGTTTACAAATAAGGATATCGATTATCGATCCCTGAAGTTCTGCCCTCATAGGTATACACTTATTGAATTAATCGAGTAATTAGTGAGGGAATTGATGGATAAGTGGAGACATTCATTGTAATTTGTGTATGACTCAGTATGTTGATCATTAATTGCTGATTAATGCATGGATTAGAATTTAAATTAAAGTCAAGTCAAATGAACTCATGATAATCTGTGCAAATAAAGCATTAACATATGCTTTTCAATAGAACAGTATTGTAAAGTGTAAACATTATAACTTTTTGCAGGTGATTTATGGCCCTATTGAATTGAACTGGTCTTTCTAGTTAGGTTTGTCCTCTAGTGACCCTGTTCATTGACCCTCATATTGATACTTTCCAGTCCTTTTTTTGGGAAGGACTGGCTTCCCAATATGAATTTAATAAGGGAGAGCTCAACAGTAAAACAATATTTTCCAGATTGGGTACTGAAGCAGCGTCATTATGCTTTGAATGTAAATCGAAGCTTGATGCAAAGCCAAGTGAACTTCAAGTTTCAATTATCCATGACCTGCATGTCCTTGAACTGACACAGATGTTTTGAAAGTAAATAATCACAAACCCACAAACAGATTCGTACAAGAACAATTTAGGTGCAGCATACATTCACTGTAAGTACACTGACGTTTCAAGCCTTGTGCTTTTCGGAAAAAATCCTTTTCCAAGACTTTGACATAAAAAAGATGTTCATAAATGCTACATCAGACTGAATAAAAGCTAAATTCAAATATTTAGATTGGCTTACTTGGAGTTTAAAACAGTTGAAGGCTTTACACATTACCTAAATGAAGCGCCTTTGCTCTCTTTGACAACAATCAGAATCTGTGATGTATACTACTTGCACTGGAGAAGTACTCACATTCTTTACTTAAGTAAAAATCAATGCCCTAAAATGAGAAAACACTTCACTACAATTACATAAGTGCTAATGATACAACACTTTGTATGTATGTCAATAAAATGAGTCAACCATTCTTATTAGGTTGTTTTATTCAATTATGTGTCAGTAACTGCTCCCCTGAAATAGATATGTGCCCTATCAGAGCCATTGTTTACATTAGTAAGCAAGCTAAAATCAATTGTCATTGATGGCTAACTTCAGCTGCAAATCAACTTGTAGTGAGAACCAATAGTTTTGTATAGGCTTCAGTGTTTACAAGACAACCAAATTATTAAAAATCTCTGTATTATTTACCTGTCTACTGAATGTCTTCTGGGCTCTGTGAGGGACGTCTTTCTCTGTTCTCTCTGTCTGTTTCTGTTCTGGTCAATCATTCTATAATTTCATCAAACTGGGAACTGTGACGGTTGTGCCACTGATACGTGATAGGATATTTTTGGGAGCTTGTTTGCATTTTTTTTTTTTTTTTTCCCACATACACCATTTCTTTGCTAGGTGTGAGAGGACTGATGTTTGCAGTTTGGGTGTTTTCCCTTTTCCTTGTTTGAACCAAATTTGTCCTGGCACATCAGTGTTTCTTGGAAAACAGAAAACAGAGTAGCTTTCATAAAGATACATTATTTGATGTGATGAGTTTGGGGTCAAAGTAACTAGGGAGCCCTTTTCGTGGTTGGACCATGAAAGCGGGGCCCTGGGCACAACCAAGTTTATCTAAAAAAAACTAATGGTTAGGGTGACTGACGGACAAGCCTGTTAACATTAGGCGTCACTGGGCTAACCCAGTGCAAAACTTTATTGCACCTCTTTGAGGTTGTTTTTCTCATTTTGCATAAATTATTTTATTTATTCAGTCTTTTAGACTTTGTTTTGCGCATTTTCTTGTGGTTGTTTTGGTATCCCTTCCATTGAGACCCCTTTGACTGATTAAAAGCCTGTGCTAAAGCCGCTAAAACCCCATGAAGTGAGTAACCCAGATGTGCTGTAGGGGGTTTCATTTGAAGGCTACTTCACGTTTTTCATTCTGGGAGGCAGTATCGGGGCAGTATCGTTGTGCGCAGGCGCAGGAGCACTTCACACAACCGCAATAAGCAAACATGGCGGCGGCCGTCGACAGTGTTGTGAAAGTGTAAGTTTACCTTCATTATTGTAAGAGTAAATCAAGCAGCAGAACAGAGATGATTGAGCGTGATTATCGTCGTGTCATTGCACATGTTTTTAACCCGTACAGTCCGCCTCCTCAGTCTTGAATGTAAGCTTTGTCCCTAGAGAATAACGTTATCCACTGAGCTAAGGTTAGCCTGTTAGCTGTAGGCAAATATAAATGAGGTGAACCCATTGTGGAGCTCTCTTTTAAACACTACTTTTTCCAGAACTTGGCTTGCTCGGGGTCGTGCTGTCGTGGTGTTTAACACTATTTGTCCAAACTGTTGCTAGCCAGCCGCTCGCTGATGTAGAAGAGAGTTATTTTCCCCTGTAAGCTTGGCGGGTTTGCTTTGTTGTTACGAGAGACCTGCTAACATCAACCTTTTGTTCTGACGTCCCTCCATCAGTACTGATTGTGTTCCGGCTTTGTGAGGCTGCGTTATGTGAGTCCTTTTAAAAAAAAGAAAGAAAGAAAGAAGAAGAGATCATACAGTCAGAGCAACAGTCTGTCTTTTAAAACAATGCGACAACATTGATTTAGAGACGTGCCACGGTGTCTTTAAGTTTACTCTTCAGTATTCATTTATTCCAATCACACAAGAGGCTGTTGCTGCATCCTTAATTGTGAAAATCCCAGAGACTGGTGATTTCTATTGTGCATTACAAGAACGGTGCAACATGCAAGCCGACTGATTTAAAAAGTGAATTTAGCCATTTGCAGTGATTGCACCACTCCTTTCTGATGCAGCTTTATGACAAATCTCTCCCTGAGCTCACAAAGGCAGTTTTGACCTGGACAATGAATGTGAATTGATTAAAGCCTTCAGCCAACATAATGACATCTGCATGTAAAGTTGCAGATGACTAAAAATGAATTCCTTTTTTTTTTTTTTTAGATAATAAAGTTTTGGATACTTCTTTGTTTAACTTAAATGGTAAATGGACTTGAGCTTATATAGCGCTTTTCTAGTCTTCCGACTACTCAAAGCGCTTTTACACCGCAGGTCACACCCACCCATTCACACACTGATGGTAGTGATGATCGCCATGTAGTATCATCCATCAGAAGTAACTAATCCCATTCATACACCGCCACTGAAGCAGCGGGAGCAATTCGGGGTTAAGTGTCTTGCCCAAGGACACATCGGACATGTTGCCCAGCAGGGGGTTGAACCCGGCGTCGACTCTGCCAACTGAGGCACAGCCGCCCATAGTAGTAACACTGTTGCATAGTTATTGACCTTAGAATTAAAAAAGAAGAAGAAGAGATTTACAAAATTTCAAAATCAGACAAATGAACAATGAAAAGGTAGAATGTAAAAAATTAGATATAATTTGTAAAATTACAAGTGGAAACTTCCTACACTACATCAATAATGTGTCATGTATATTTAACCCTGTTCAAGTTGCAACATGTATCCTGCAGTGATTATTAGCAGTTTGTCCTGATCTGTATTATTTGACTTGCTCGTGTCCCACATTCACATTCCAGGCTGGGAGAGCAGTATTACAGAGATGCCATGGAGCAGTGTCACAGTTACAATGCTCGTTTGTGTGCCGAGCGCAGCATCCTTATGCCTTTTCTGGACTCTCAGACCGGTGTAGCTCAGTCCAACTGTTACATCTGGATGGAGAAGAGACATCGAAGTGCAGGTATATAAAATAAGTTATGAAGAATTTCCCAAATCATTCCAAAACTGAAAAAAAAAAAAAAGGTTACATGCTTTTTCTTGTGCTTGTAATACTCTGTGACACATCAGGTGTAGCTCCAGGACAGCTGTACACCTACCCTGCTCGTCGCTGGAGGAAGAAACGGCGTTCTCATCCCCCTGAGGACCCCCGCTTGGCTTTCCCACCTCTCAAAGCAGGTAGCACATCTAATGGAACAAAAAATGTCATTATCATTTTTTTTTTTTATCCCTTTGTTCCCAACAGTAGAAGAGCCCGACTGTGACTACCAGTGTCGGCTTCTTTTATCCCAGATATGCGCCGATATTTCTTAATTCATGCACAAGTCAAAAAGCATTTCATTTGAGTTTCTTTGGATCGCTCTAGCAGTTCTCTTTAACCAGCAGAGTGTGCTAAATGGATTACAACAAGCGTCATCTATCGCTATTACGTATGCAGATACATGAGAAGAATTACAAATAAACGGGATCTTGAATCACTCTCCAGAGTGTCTAGCGTTGATGCACGTACATGCACAGTTAATTTCCAGTTGACTACCCATCTTTTTTTTCATTCTATATTTTCATCCAGGATAGATCAAAGAAAGATATTGGCCATTATATATCGGTATCAGATTTTTCTCTCCCTATTATCGATACCTAAAACTCCCATATTGGTCGGGCCCTAATCAGTAGGTCCGGTTTATCAGTGGTATTTTCTGGCATGTTAGTCTTTCTTTTTCTGTTTATGCATGCATTGCTGTACTTCTCCTTCTGTGTAGCAGATTTGGAGTTAGGGTTGAAGCGGGATGCATTGGGGCCAGTGGATGGCAGCAGCCTGGAGGCACTACTCAAGGGTGAGCCCCACGACAGGAGGAATGCCACGTCGGATATCCGTGGTTCTGAGGATGATGCAGCAGCCGTTGAACCTCCGGCCACCTCAACGACCACCCACACTTCCTCTGGCCGTATACGCAAGGTCTGGCTCTAAGATAGCTGAGCACTCTTGTTTTCTGTGAATGCATTTAACATGTTGAGCATAGCCGCACAACAAATGGCATACATTACATGACCTGATTTTTATATAGAATAATAATGTAACTGTCAAATCCACGTCGCTTACTGCACCATCACAAGTCAGTTCAAATCTCTGTTTTGTTACCAGAGCGTTACACCCAAACCTGTTATTTACTGACAAACTGCTGAAATATTTACCAGAGTGGTTCAATCAAAAACAGAAAAATCAGTAACACATTACGTCGGTTATAATGTGCCCTTTCACAACTTCATATAAAGCATCAATGGCAGATTTTTGTAGTTTTTACTAAAGCATGGAATTGGCCATACATTCAATACAGCCAGACTTAATCACAACCTTCTCTTCACAGAGAGTCTTAGACCATGATGACTACTTGGATGACCTGGACGATGAAGACTTTGAAGACGAGACCCCAAAGAGACGGGGCAAGAGCAAATCCAAGGTGAGTGTCCTTTCTTTTTCTGCTTGCAGTCCCCTGTAATACACCGGAGGATCAATGTGGGGCGATGCAAGCAATAAAGTCACAGTAGTTCTTAATAATTAATCAGATTTTCTTCACCCCAGATGATTTTTTAATCTGTACTTTTTTCTTCTTGAACATCTTATTTGGTTTCAACTGTGCACAATCCTGTTTTTTTTAATTTCATTTGAGGTGTACAGAGAAAAATCAAAAGTTTCAAATGACTCTTTTAGGGTCGCAGCGACAAGAATGGCAAGAAAAAGCAAGAGGCTGCAGCTGCTGCGATGGAGGAGAGGGACAAACCATACGCCTGCGACAGTAAGTAGAAGCTGTGTGTCGTGCATGTCGGCAAGAGAGGCTTTTGCTTTTTCCCTGAAAGACAAAAACAACGCTTCCACCATGCATGGTTTGATCTGAAAGACCCCTTCTAGAACTTAAGTTCGACAGCATAGACATTTGAAAGTTGCCCGCCTGAATGCGTTTCGATTGTTTGTATGTTTTTTTTCCCCCCCTGAGATGCCGTGCCGTGTTTGCTCTCTGGCTTCTTGCCGGCCATAAAGCTCATTTGTGCAAACGCTTACCTCCGCTGAATGAGTCTGCTGCTAGCGCGTCAACCAAATATTAACAATGTGAAACAGATAGCTAAATAAAGCTGGTTGTGGGGGCGATGATGATGATGATGATGATGATGATGATGATGATGGTTCCATCTTGGGCCTTTTTGGACGGCAGCTAAAATTGGCCGTCATCACTATAACACTTTTTGTATGACCGTGTGTGTGTGTCAGTCTGTGGGAAGCGCTACAAGAATCGTCCTGGCCTGAGCTACCACTATACACACTCTCACCTGGCCGAGGAGGAGGGCGAGGACCGCGAGGAGATCGAGGCACCACCCACTCCTCGCCAGCCTGAGGAGCAGAAGAGTGAGTCACTCTCTAGTGCTGAGAGAGAGACGGAGAGAGAGAGAGAGGAAGGAGGTTTGGTTGCATGCCTTGTAGCATGTCTGTGTTGTACAAGGGATGTCTCTCTCTCATTCTCTCTCTCTTTTTTTAAATTCTGCTCTTTTCATTTTTTTTTTTTAATCCCAAATGTGGGATTATTCTCAGTGTTCCTGACATAAACATATTTGCAGGGTTGGGAATCCTGTTTTTTTTTTTTTTTTTTCCTAACATGTCATCCATCTTTTTCTCCCCCCCTTCGACATATCATCGTATTTTTTGTTTTCTTTTGTGAACGCTACATTGTGTTAGCAAATACATTCATGAAGTGCGTTTTGTCAGTCACCACTCATCTTTACATTGGATCATATTTCTCAATACATCATTAGTCAGTTCTTGAAATGAGAAGGTGTTGTCTGATGTCGTGGTGAAACAGGTTTGTGAAGCTGTCAATCTTTTCAACCTTTTGATTTATCACTGTTTAATACTTAGGTAAGTCCTACAATACGTAAGGGGGGATTATAGTGAGTGTGTTGTTGTAGGGGAAAGGAACCCTTGGAGTCGACTCACCATTATCCTGCTTATTACACGGCTGGTTACTTAAAGTGATAAATAACTAGACACACAACAGTGATGTGAAAAGGATCTCATTGATTTAAAAACGATACATTTCAACGGTTAACTCTTCAGCCTGATTGTGTTTTTCCGTCAGGTCACTGTCGGAGTCAGTTGACATTTTCTTTGGGGGGGGGGACAAGCTGACATGGTGACACGATGACACAAACACTTGAGGGAATCTTGGTGTTCATTAAAAGTGTTACTTTTAATGACAGCTGTCCTTTTCTATCGGAAAGGTATCCTTAAATGACTTATTTCCCTGATGTCCGACTCTGTCCACTATCCTATCCCTACAATAAATAACTTTATTTTTTATTTAAAAAATATATTGTTATTATTTTTGTACTTGACCTTCAGGGGGGGCGGGGGCCCTGCAGGTAGGGGAAACACTGCCCTGTTTGTGTGTGTTTACAAGTGCCATCTTGAGTTCTGTAGATTTCTCTGTCATAGTGTACAGATTCATCTTTAAAGCTCTCTTCACTGCTTTCCTTTATCACAGTTAGCCCTCTAGATTCTGTGATATGAGCCCTAGCAACTGTCCGCTCTTCATAGTAACGGTTTGTTCTACTTATCAAAGGGTAGCAGACAGTTGCAGTGCGTAAATTGTCGATCAGAAGCAAGTATTTAACACAGCCGTGTAATAAACATACATATGAAAATAGAGCTATTTGACTCATCCTCCTTTAGGATTCAGTGATGTGATGTGATGTTTTTGATGTGCACATAATTGTTTTCTTCACTCGTTCTCTTGCTCAGCAACAAAGAAGGGTCCCAATGGGCTGGCACTGCCCAACGATTACTGTGACTTCTGTCTGGGAGACTCCACCTTAAACCAGAAGACGGGCCAGTCAGAAGAGCTGGTGTCCTGCTCAGACTGTGGTCGCTCAGGTATGAACTTATCATATGTCATAGGTGAGAGATTCCTTTCAGGCAAAAAAAAAATCCACAATTGATGATCCATGTAGATAAGATTGTTTGTGTATTGGTGTTTACAGCTTCTTAGTTCTTGACTTTAAAGTAGGACAATTAAAATGTCAGGATGGAATTGAAGTGTGTGATACTATCTTGGATTCAAATTTGCCGTTGGTCAGCGCAGCTAACCCTCCCCTGATATTATCCAGGAATATGGGTAAAAACAAACTTGTTTTTGAGTACTTTCGAGGGCTATTTTTATACTATTTGACAACACTCTTCCCGTCTCCTCTCCTTCCTGCAGGCCACCCGACATGCCTGCAGTTCACCCCAGTCATGATGGCTGCAGTGAAGACGTACCGCTGGCAGTGCATTGAGTGCAAATGCTGCAATGTTTGTGGCACCTCAGAGAATGACGTAAGCCCCTTTTTGGAACTCTGATATGTGTTTTTGAGCTAACTATGTATTCAAATAATTCGATTTCCTTCAGCTCTTTGTATTACCTATACTGCAGCTCTATTTTTGGGATCAGGAAAAATCAGCCTTAGTATTAACAGAGGACAGAAATGAAAAGTAAACGCTGCTCCTTTTAAAATTTGACAGATTTAAAGACACTCTCTTTTAGTTTTTATACCCATGTCCTCTTTATTTATTCAGTTGTGGATACTAGTTGAGTCCAAAGTACCGGTATTTTGTTTCCTGATGAACAAATATGTTTGTTTGGTAACTGCATCTCATTAAACACGGTCCTGCAAGGTGCATTGGGTTGTTGTCTTCTGTGAGTGACCTCAGTGACAGCATTTTCTGTCTTTCTTGTTGTGAGTGATTGGTCCATGACGTCCTCTCATCAGAGTATGAGCTGAGAGAAAGCAGAGTTGTTGTCATCCTTTGTTCCTCTAAAATCTTCCACCACAGTGTCACTCAAGTGCACATACAGTCAAGAGAATGTCAAACTGGAGGCAAAGCTTAAAACAGGATGAAAAGAAGATAGTTGTGGATAAAGTCAGACTCACTATCATTTATAAACTATGGTAACAACCCCACAACCTGAGCCGGCTTTGAATTTGCTGCCTCACTGCTTCATTGAGACAGTTTACAACTTAACACATGCCTTTTATTTTGACATGTTTAATCAAATGTAATTGTTCAGTTAGCAGCCAAACTGGATGGATTGGACCGTTCGTCAATAAAATTAAACAGGACATAGTGGTCATTTTGGTGGTTAATAAAACATTTTAAATCCAGCTTTAGTCTGATTTTATAAGGAGGAACTGTCTCTCCTGTTTCTCTTCTAGTCTAATCAGCTGACTGAACATGATGATGTGCTTTTTTTGGTTTTTTTTCAGGACCAGCTGCTCTTCTGTGATGACTGTGACCGAGGCTACCACATGTACTGTCTGAGTCCCCCTATGACTGAACCACCAGAGGGTAAGCTGATGCTGAAATCTCGACCACAGTCTGATTAATCAGTCAAGTTAAAAGTGATGGTGACAATGATTTTAAAAACACTTATAGAGCGATGGCTGGAAATGTTTCCAAGTCAAGTCACATGACCCACGGCAGCCTTGTGTAGTAACAGACTCGGGCTGTTGAATAGTTTGGTTTGGTGCTGAACTAAAAAATAAAAAGGAAAGAAAAGTTGCATTTTCGTTTTAAGAATATTGAACTCTGAGAATTCTGAAAATTCTTCTTTTGCATTGAATCATTATTCCAGACTTTTCCACAGTGTTCAAACAGAGACATCTGTGGTTTTATTTAGTATAACAGTACATAATGTATAATATACTCACAAATGTACTTCACACAGTGGAATCTCTACTGAGGGAACAAAGGAAGATAGCTGGTTCTAACAACAGTGCGTTGTGTTACTTTGAACTATGTAGCGATGCATTGCATGAATAACTTGGGGTTAATTAAGTTTAAAAAATGGTATAATGTGGTTAAAACTAGCTTGATAAGATTTTGATACAACTTAGATACAGACCATGTCTGGTTAGAAACAACATTTCTGCCAGTATCAAAAAAAAAGAGGTTTTCAAGCTCTAGGGTAAGTGTTTCAAATAAGACAACAACTTCCATGATACTTCACGTCGTCATCAAACGACATTTGTAAAAAATAACTCTTATTTACATGTGTAATAAAGCTTCATATTTATTATGATGATGCTGATGATGCTGCTGCTGAGTGACACCCCAGAAATAGTCCAGTCCAGACTAAATATTTTGAGGGAGAAAGTCTTGATTCCACCTCGTTAATTTCTTTTTCTTCGGCCCATTTACGTGTGTAAATAATAGCTTTAGTATGATGCTGATGATGCTGAGTGATTTGATCGTGTAGTTAGTTTACCTAACTTGGATACTGTTCCATAAATTGATGTTGTTGTTGAACATAATGTGGTGCTTGAAAAGCTGATGCTGTATTCCTCACACATGCCTTACTGTGTTTCTATGTCTCATAGGGAGCTGGAGCTGCCACCTGTGCCTGGCCCTGCTGAAGGATAAAGCTTCCATATACCAGCAGAACCAGAACTCTGCCCCAGAGTGACATCATAGCAGCTAGTCCTGCCCCCTCCGTACAACACACTCCAACCCCACAACCTCCTCCCGATGGGAAAGCCAGACCCCCTTTCAGTCCAGAGCGCCAGGCTCTGTCCAGATGTAGCTGAGCCAGATCTCAGATCAGCTTCACAAGTCTTAAAATCTTCCCATCAGTAGGGGGATCAGTCTACATGGGGTTAAACTATCACTACCGACCTGCCTGTAAAGCCCCTTGGGCTTACCATCAAACACGTACATATTGTGCACATATATACAGTGTAGACGCACTCTCTCTCCTGAACTGTTATACACACACAATAGACGCAGACACAGAGAGCATGCAGTAACCATAGCAACTGCTGTCTCCAAGGGAGCGAACTGATTAGCATCACCGCTAATTATTTGTACCCTTTTGCTCTCAAAGACAGTGCAGACTGTCAAGACAACACAGATTCTCTTCTGCCAAATGATCTATTTTTACTCCCTGAATGTGGGAGAGAGAGAACATTCAACACCTTTATGGTCGAGGATTATTATAATTACTATTGTTATTGTTCTGGTTACTAGTGGACTTTTGTAGTGGCATTCATCTGTGTACTTTTGTCTGATTGGAGCAGTTTTTTCTTTTTTTTTTAAGAAGAAGTTTCCCTGGGGGGAAGCCAGTCAGTGCCAAGGTCCACTATCATTTGAAATTTCACAACTGAAGACCCACGCAGCCTTTCATAATCTGAACATCTTTGTTTTCAAATCAGTGGGACAAAACCGTTAAAACAAAGTTTTTATTTTTTTTGCCAACAAAAAACTTTGGCTTTGACTTGTTATGCTGTTTTAGCACAAAATCTTTGGCCTTGAGTTGCACCAAATCCAACTTTTCATTGCTGATTCAGTTGAGTTAACCAAACACTATATCACACATCGAACACTGAAAGTTTCACTGAAGATACAAAAGTTACGTCAGCTTACTGTCTCTCATTTTAACAGATAATGCTGCTCTTATCAAGAAAGTCTACTACAAAACAATGAGCCACCATAGAGGTCCGTCTTTTTTGTGCAAGCTTTTTTAGAAACTGCAGCGACATCTAAGTTGCTGCTGTCAAGCAGATGTCTTAAAGAATCAATCACAAACTGTAGCTGCTTTCATCATCTGTCACACTGCGGTGGATTTGCATGCACATTGCACCAGTTTAAATGCACACTCATATCACAAGTGTATTTTTTTTTGTTTTTGTTGTATTGTTTATTTTTTTACATTTTATATTACTTGATATTCCATTGGTACTGGGAGTTTTTCTAGTAGAATTTTGTCTATTGAAGTTTATTGTATTGCAACACTTCAAGTATATAGCTCCTAATGCATTGTATGTACTGTATTGACTTTTTCTATTTTTGTTATTACTGTGACATGTTTGAATTGATTTGATTATTCTGGTATGTCAGACCTCCATTATGAGTATTTGTAAAATGATGTACTTTGATGTACTATTTTTATTTTTTCATTTCTTTGGCATCAAAGCCGATTTAGCCTGACTTATAAATAAAAAATCACTTTGAATAATGTGTTTTTTGTTATTGCTCCATGTTTAAGCTGCATGTTTTGTTCAGCTGAGCAAACAGCTGACATCACCAAATAATTCAAATGAACTCATCTGTATCAATCAATCTTTATTTGTATAGTTCCAATTCATAACAGATGTTATCTCAAGACAATGTTTAGCAAAGTTGCAGAGGCAAGGTAAAAGGCTCATGATGACCAGCCATCTGCTGGAACTGCACCAGGCTTGAAAAGTGGGATAAGCAGCAAGCCATCCCCACTGACGATCTGAGGAACCTACGAGACATGAGAGCTCAGGAGCCCCCAGGAAAAGATGTGGTTAGTTACTAAGATTCACAGAGTGACTTGCAGTAATATGATGTGAATGCAGCGAGAGAGAGAGAGAGAGAGGGCTCAAGGTGCCTGTTCCCCCGGTAGTCTAAGCCTATAGCAGCATAACTAGGAGCTGGTCAACACCTGTGCCAGCCCTAACTATAAGCTTTATCAAAAAAAGAACATTTTTCAAGTATCAGAAATATCAAAAGTGACAAAAGGGAAGTTAACAAAAAACAGTCCAATATGGAAGACACAGCTCCAAAAAAAAAAGTTGCATGACAAACAAACTTGTCCTAAATCTCAGGAAAATCATCTTGATAGCTCAGAAATCTTGTAATTGCATGGTTTGTATGAAATTATGAAGATACTTTGGTTGACATTCACTCGTTGTGGAACGTTGGATTCGGGCATGTGGCATTGGACTTCCAAACATATTACCAAATTAGGAGAATTTTTAAATAATAGTCTATTGGAGAAATACCAGCTCACAAAAGGAGGTTTTTTTTTCTTAATTTCTTTAAAATAAGACACTTAGAATACAACCCTGTTGGATCATCCTGAGATATCTGCCGTTGCTGTTTCAACAACATGAGAAGGTGTCTCTAAGATCCCCTCTATAATGTTTGTGTGTGGGATATCCCCCACAGAGGGTTAAAGGTGTATGCGAGAAGGAATTATCAGGGACTATTGATGAGGAGACAGGGGAGGATATTTTGAGTCATGTCAAAAAAGAAAACAATGTGTACTCAAAGAGAGTTCATTCAGTTTAGAATCATACATAGAATACATACTATCTCCTAGTTTCCCTCTGTGTTTCAAATTTAAAACCAAAATAGGTACTCTTACCCATTGTTTATGGTCATGTCATAATCTGCAGAAATACTGGTCTGAAATACTTCATGAAATGGTAAAAATATTTTTGAAATGGATCCTGTGTCTCTGATGTTGAGGCTCCTCCTCAGTAGGAATATATACACTGTAGCTTAAAGGTCATATAACAATGACTGGATTGGTTCTGGTTTAACCTTCTGTTAAAGGATAGTGCATGCTAATATCTAAACAGGTTCCCTGCAAATATCTCACTAGTATTTTACGTGCTCTTATATTTGTTTTTGTCACTTTGTTTCTACTTGTTTGGTTATTTTCATTATGGCTAATAATATATGTTAAATATGTGTGTATTGTGGAAATCGAGAAAATTCAATAAACATATTGAGGAGAAAAACAAAAGTTAAATTAGATTCTTTGTAAATGCAGAGAAGACAGGTGAACTGTGTTAAATCAAATATGTTACCATATGATGTTGAGAAAAGAAACTGCCGGTAAGTGCACTCACAAAAGCACCGTGATTCAGAGTAATATTGAAGTACTGAAGATTTTTCTTTTCGATGCTAATACATGCGTCCAATCTACAACATTAATGAATATGCAGTTCATTACTGTTGGTGAAATCTTGAAATAAACTTTTACACCGCTTTTGACACTTTAACTGTGGTACATGTTCTTTAAGTGTAAATAAATTCATTCCAAACAAGCAAATAGGGTTTGAATGTGCAGGACAGAGAGTGTCAGATATGAAAAGCAGAAGCTAAACGTCACAGAAGAAAACATTTTATTGCATTCAAAACCAAACACTCCATGACTTTCTCCAAACAGACATTCATGAACACCTTGAAGCACACAGTCCCATTTATCCCCGACACAAATATACCACCACCAGTACCGCAAAGCTTTTAGGAGAAAAAAAAGGGGGGGGGGGCTATAATATGTAAAATACCAACAATAATGGCTTAGTGCAATTATCTGGAGCGTGATGAAAAGCCATGCTATGTCGTTTACTGGGGGATGAAAACTTGACATTAAACTTACATTAAACTTAGAAAAGTGCACGCACTGAAAAGCAACAATATAAACGTACACTTATACTCATCTGGTCTTTGAGGTTACTTGTGGCAGTCTTGAAGTATTCATAAGTAAACTAACACACTCTTGGGTTTATATTACACAATATTCTTTGATTCAGAATGCAAAGTCAATACTTGATAGATTTTTTGAAACATAGTGCATCATCAGCTGGGTTTGATTTCACAAAATCAGAAGCTTGGTACAAAACTATGTAAAATACTCGTTTATCAAAGGTGAACACTGCAGCTTTAAGAAGGTGAAATGAAATGAGAAGTCATCTGTCCACACATCTGATCAGCAACGGGAGCAGTGAATGTTGAAGATGGCTTGTTGGTGTGGTTCTGTACCTGGAGAGTGTGTGTGTGTGTGTGTGTGTGTGTGTGTGTGTGTGTGGTGGTGTGTCATCTAAAGCCTCTCAAAGCCAATGGAGCACATGAGGAAGACGGCATAGAGAAGAATGAGACAGAATCCCAGCCTGCGGTCCAACCTCCAACAGTTCAGATGGACACACAGGACCTGAGGAGGAATAGACATACAGACAGAGAGAAACAGAGAAAAAAGAGGGAAGGAGAGAGAGAGAGAGAGATAGCTTCATTTCCTGTTACACTGCCGACAAAAACAATCAACCTCTTAGAGTCTGAGAACATAGTCAAGCTCTAATGTAAAAGATTAAACGGGCAGAGAATCTACTCACAGTGAGTGTGACGGAGGCTAACAGCAGAATCACTGAGTACACCAGACCTTTGCTGTTAATTGTCACCTGTAGAGCAGAGATAACATTTTGATTAAAAACCTCTAAAGGACCACTGACTTAATACCTGCCTCTAACAGAGCAAGACACATTTAAAACCAATAAATGATTTTATGGAACACTGTGGGAAATACATTTTTGTTTTTATTGATATTTACTAGGGGGAAGTGGAAAAACTAGACACTACAGGATACAAGATGAGATAGGCAGAAAAGCAAAAAACAAACAACAGTATTCAACCGGTGACATTAAAGTCTCTGGCTCACACTCTCTTGCCTCGATGGTACATGGTTTAGAAGAACTGTCATGAATATAAAAGATGATAAGAATAACATTTTCTTTTCCACTTTGGAAACCAACATCAACAGTCTTACAGTTTCCCTAATATGGGGGGGGGGGGGGTTATGGTTGTATGGTGGTTCGTCTGTGTGCTGTTTGTTTATTGGTTCCTAATTAATGACCAACGAATGTAACTTTAATCACTGAAACGTTGTTTGTTTTTTTGTTTGTGAAAATCAATAAACAGAGTTGGAAAAAAACAACTGGAATATTGAAATGTTTTAATGACCATGCTGCAAGTGAACTAAATAAAAAAAATATCAGGCAAAGAAACCAGCTGCTGTTACCACGGATCCATAGCTGACTATGAGAGTCCTCAGCGCCCAGGGGAAGCCCAAGCCAAGCAGCACATCAAAAATATTACTGCCAATGGAGTTAGACACGGCCATGTCGCCCATCCCTGAAACATCAGAAACACACACACTCGAACAGAGTTCACGAGGGTACATGTAGTGGCTATGATATTAGACATCGACTGAGGAGTGTTTGCATATGTTCATGTCCTTTTTAGATATACGACTACTAAGACACACAATGCCACATGACCGATTCAGTCTGGAGTTTCCTTTTTTTTTTTCTCGGCACTTTCACAATTTTTACTATTAAAACCATTTGCAGAGATAATTTACTTTTTTTGTTACTGTTTCAGTAGATCATCCATTGCTTTTCTATGACACTACACTTATAATTCATGTGATTCTCAAGCCAAATATACTGAACAGAAACTGCTAGAGACTATGCATCTAAAGTAAAAAAAAAAAAAGAACATAGTGTTTGTTGTGTGTATTTTCAATACTGCCTCATTGCAATGAAGGATAAACACAATTACACATTGTAAGAATGATTTTATAACTCTTCTGTAGCTTCCACAGGATGCTTGTCATGATGACACCAAATCAATCAAGAATCTACCAAACATTTTTCCAGAGAGCTCACTGAGGGCTCTACCTAAAGGTGGAGACTACTACAGTACTGTAGAAAAAGGCTGGTTCTCTGCATACAGGTCTATCTCAGATAGATGTGACAGGTTTTTATCATTTCACTGCTTCCTACATCGCCAACAGAGGTGAGCAGGTGAGTGTGTTTTTTAAATACACGCTGCAGTGAAAATATTTTGAATAGAACAAATAATAGGAAAAAAAATAGGATGGGAAATAAGGATGGTCCATTTTCTTTTCAAGCTTAACAATGAACTTCACTTGCTCTTCTCCCTCTAAAATAAGCATCGGTCTCTAAAAAACATCATCGCAGTCAAATTGAAGTTATTGAACCTTGGGTTTTAGAAATGATTTATCAGACCAACCAAGAAAGGTCCAGAAACAGCATCCTAAAATGTGCAAAACAAAAAGTGTTGGTATAAATGGTTTGGATAAACAGAGTGCATATGTGTTGAGACAGCTGAAACACACATCTATTTCCACAAACACACAAACACAGACAAGAATCCACCTTGTCGTGCCACAATGAGGCTGGCCATACAGTCGGGAACACTGGTGCCAGCTGCCAAAAAAGTGATGCCCATGAGGACTTCAGGAATTCCGAGTGTGTAGCTGATAATGGTCACCTAGACAGACAGAGGAAAGAGCCGGTGTATACACAGGTGTGAGAGTGTGTGTTAGTGGTGTTAAATTGTGCTGGTTCATGTGTTTCCTACCATCCAGACCATGAGGTAGGAGAAGACGGCTATCCAGAGTGTGGAGGACAGGAAGGTGAGCAGGTACCAGCGCTCCCACCGCGGCAGGTTACAGTCAGGGATGGAGCAGTGAAGCAGGACGCTTACAGGCCAGGAGAGCAGCCACTTCACACGCACACACCAACCATCTGACAAAATAAATAATATATAGAAGTTTCCCCCTGCAGGGATCATTACGGGTTGATCTGAACTTCTCAATGATTATGTAGCCTCAGTGTACGATCACTTTTTATTTAGCTGCACTGGAGAGAAGTAGGAGAAAAGTGCAAAGACAATAAGCTGTTTAGTCTCAGCAATAATTTGACCAACACATACACTGTACTTGTCGCTATAGCAACATCATAAAGATAAATCACTTTCAGAGATGTTGGGCTTTAAAAATCTGACAGATAAAAGAGCCATTCATGAAGCTTATTACAGGTTCACAAACTGTAAGCATGAGGAATTGGCTCCCATTTCAACGCTCCTCACTTGTTAATCATCATTTTATAACACATCAGCTACTGTTCTCAATAGCTGATGTTAGCATACGTCCAATTTCTAGTGTAACATGATTCAATAGGAAGAGGTGTAAATTCATAGCTAACAGTAATGGTGGAATGCTAACGTTAGCTGCTGTGACTAAGCTTTCGCCAGATAACGACTGCTAAGGTGTATTTTACCTTTAAATTTGGCCCCATTTATACTTTCCATTGTGTTTTGAGGAGTCAATTGAGAAGCAGTTAAATTACAAAAATATGTCAAATTCCCAACATCTATACAACTTAACATCCTGTAATAAAGCAGTACAAAATCAAAACATTGTTCGAGGTGCCTATGCAAACTGTGACATCAGAGGCATCAAACTGTGACCGTCTGCACATGGGAAATTAAGAACTTAATTCTGAAAATAACATATTTTTGATGATAATTACCTTATGAGTCATGATCTCTCTATAGTCAAGTCTCTTATTATAAAAAGTCTGATTTACTTTGGTCCATGGTTGCTGGAACTATTATATCAAGAAGGCATCAGTCTTGGTTTTTCAATACAAAATGAGTTTTATGCAGTTGGCAGACAGCAGCATCAATTTTTGATGAATTCTAACATGCATCTCTTTCTGTAGCCAGGCAGTAGCTCTTGGCATATTTTACTTGTAATTCCACACTAACCTGGCAGGACAAACGGTTTAAAAGGAGCGTTTTCATCAACCCCTTCTTCCTGCTCTTCCTCCTCCTCGTCCTCCTCGTCCTTAGGCTGTGCTCCCCCATCGGTCTCTCCCACTGCCTCTTTACCCCTCTCCCTCTCTCCTTCCGGCAGCGGCTTGTCTCCCTCAGCCACAGTCCCGTTAGCACCGACACCTTCATCCCCTGAAGCTCCCCCCTCCTCTGAGCCTTCCCGGGCTCTAATAAGCCTCTGCCTCTGAGGGAGAGGAGGGAGGGAGTGAGGTGAAGTCAGGAAAAATGAAAGAAGGAAACACAATTAGATGAGAAACACTGCTGCAGCAAGATGATACAGACGACATCATCTGACTGTAGCAACAATATGAGTAGCGGCAAGAGGCGTGATCAGGCAGCAAGTCACATACACCAGAGGGGAGGTGGGAAGCATTGAGCAGGGGCATGGTACGGAGCAGCGGCAGCACTGGCAGTCGCACTTTACTTTGGATTTGGAAATAGCAAGCGCAAATGTAGGCGAGCAGAGACGGCGAGGAGGGAGATTTTGGAGATTGAGTTCTTTGTTTCTTTTGTGTCGGATATGACGATATGTAGAAAAGCAGCAGTCTGTTTGTGTGCGTTTCTTTGTGAGATAATCAGATGGTACGTGGATATAATTTTGTTTACCTGATTGTAATCTTAATGTCGAATAAACCTTTATCAAGTTAAACAAATTAGAATAAGACCTACCAATGTAAGTAACACGAAAAGTCAAAGCTTAACATCAGCCTCAAACGGATACTTCCGTTAGCAGCATTGAAAGAAAACAGCCCGTACAGATCTGTACAACAAAATAACAATCTACTAGATGTCTCACTTAAGAAACACAGTCATAAATAATACCAGTAATGTAACACACTATGTGCACATAAATTCAACAATGTACTAAATGCCATCCAAAAGGCAGCTAATGCAGTCAGCCTTTAAACTGTGATTTGGGATTCGATCAAATTTTTATTCATTACACATTTGAAGATAAAGTCAGTAGCTTTTTTTTTTAAAGGGGACATTTTATGAAAAATCCACTTTTAAAGTGTTTTTGAACAAATATTTGGGTAACCTGCGCGTCTATGGACCCACAAAATATGAAATAAATCCATCCAGTCCTTTGTTTGTAGTCTGCATAAGTCTTACAACACTCCGTTTCACATTTTTTCAGCTGGGTTCTGGTAAGAAAATACCCTCCCCTCCCCTGGTATCTCCCCCCCATGGACTCCATCCCCAGCCTAGAACAAAACTTTTGCGCAGGTTGGCCGTTTTTATTCTCGCTACAGAGGAGTGACGTCTACCTTGAAAACTCAGGGGGGGCTCATTGAATTTAAAGAGACACACACACCAAAACGGAGCGTTCTGAGAGAGCTGGTTTATACAGGGTCAGAATCCTCCTCTGGTGCTTTATTCATGTAATATTTTGACCAAAGCACAGCACAGATGTTTCATTTGGACCACAGGGGACGGTTTGAAAAGGCAGAAAAGGGGTATAATACGTCCTCTTTAAACTAATAAAATATAGACGTACTATATATAACTAATGCCGCTCAATCCTCACTTATGGGCCTCCATATATCTGTGGTGGTGACTGTGTGTGCAGAGACCCCGTCCTCTGCCTGGATTTTGTTGTTTTGGTTGACTGGGATGTTTCTGGGGAGTGGATGTGTTTCCACTAGTCAATGACAGAGTGCAGGTAAGTTTGGGAGTGGATACAATTCAGCAATTGAATGCCATTCAAACTGGCAAATATTGTGGACCTGACTTGGCTGCAAAGAAGATAAAATATCGTTATAGTGAGGCGGATAAAGCTGGTTCCAAAAAGAGGGAATGACCTGCGTAAACAGAGTTGGCCGGCTTTCTGTTGGACAGGCAGGTGCCAGACCTGCCTGTCCAACAGAAAGGTGAATGGCTTGTGCTGACTCGCTAGATTATCAGCTTTTTCATGACACTAAATGTAATATTCTCAGATAGCCTGTGTTGTATGTACAAGCAGTAAACGTACGCCCTCACCCTGCAGTGGGTGTGCGCTTCTGATGAGGCTCAGGAGGAGGGGCCCAGTTTTAATGTCGTGTTAACAAGCGGCAATAAATATTGTTACTGACTCTACCTTAAAGCCTTTGAAATGTTCTGATTTCATTCAAGTTATGGGGTGGTTTGGATTATTGATTATATAGCTTAATTACTTCCTGTTTAGCCTAACCATACAACAAAAGTGCCAGAGGTGGAGAAATAATATTGACCTCTATCCAATATTGAACTATTCTACATCTATTTAAGATGTAAGAGAGTTGTTCTTCTTTGTCCCTTTTATCCCTCAGTGTTCAGTTTCTATAAACGTGTGAGTAGTTAGTGATCTAAAGGGAAAGCAGTCCGACACAAGTGCAGACATGTTGATTTCACCAATACCAAAATACCCACCAACCAAGCCGATCAAACCAGCGGACCTTGACGTTTTTGTGAACAGTGCAAGCTGCATGCAGTGTACCTCGTTGATGATCATGCGTCCTGCCATGCGCAGGCGGGTGAAGGGGGGGAAATGCGGGGTGATGAGAAGGCGTAGGCTTGCCTCTGAGAAGGAGAGCTGGTGGGGGTGCCTGTTAAGCAGCTCATCCACCATCATCACCCCTGAATCCTGGCCGGCCACCACACTGGAATCTGGGGAAAGAGTGAGGAGATGAATGGGGTTAGCAGGAGACTCATATGGAGAGGAGAGGATGATTTAGGAAGCGAAAGAGGACAGAGTGACGGAGAGAATGATACAATCCTGTACATCAAAGCGGTCAACTTCTATTTCAGTGTTTGAAATCCACATGGGAACAGAAATGGGTTTGAAAGGCAGCCGAAACTGTGTCAGTAGGTCTGCAGACAGCGGCACAGAGACTGAGGAGACGTAGTGATGTTTTAGATGAACACATGCACACACGTACAAACACGAGCTCTTGCACCTGGCTTCAGCGGCACCATGTCGTTGTCACAGTCTCCCATGTTTCCGACAGCAGTGGTCCTTCGCAGGCTGCTCAGACACGGCTGCCCTGCTCTGCTACAGTGTCTCTCCACCAGGCTGTACAGAGAGGAGTTGAACCTAACACAAGAGACAGTGAGGCAAGATAAGATCATGTGTGTTCAGAGAGGAGAGAAAGTGGATTAAAACAAAACGAGGAAAAATATAAAAGAGAGAGACTCACTTCATGATGATTATGTAGATTCCATACATTGAAATCAGGATAATGGTCTCCCACCTGAAAGATCCCCAGAAACACCAAGATAGATTCATTCATACCAACTGTACACTGATGTGCTAAACACACACTATAGAAGTCTTACTACAGTCTTACCACATGACTTTTTCATCAAAGATTACCTGCAGATAGAATAAAAATAGAATTCAAGCGTGGCAGTAATGCAACATAAAACATTTCTGATGATCTAATGACAGCCAACACATTGAAAATGATTATCTTATCAAAGAAAGTGTGCACCAGCGTCCGTATTTATATCATATTGATGTCCATGAAACTGCAGTACAGACAAGCATGAAATGTGTTTGACAACATTCATAGCTTCACCAAAGACGTCTAAAAAGGTTATCTTGTGTTTTTCCCAGTTAAATGATCTTAAAGACTTTTAAACAACGAACACATTTAATAGTTTCAAATAAAAATGTTGTCTTAATGCATTAAAAAGAACTCATCGCTGACAATGAAGAGAAGTATAAAAACAGATGAGTATCAAAGCTTGTTTTGACTGGAGAATTTCTCACCAGAATAAGCACCACTATGGCCAGGATGTAGAAAACAGCATCACGAAACAAAGGCCACCAGCTGAGAACGATGGGCTGTAGAGAGAAAACACACACACACACACACACACACACACACACACACACACACACACACACACACACACACACACAACATGTCCATTAGTTTAATCAAAGAAGTGGCGTGAGATGTAATCATATGATTATTGATTTTTTTTTTTAGTGTCGCCACCGTGTGTCTACCTGTCCAGAGAAGATGCCACAGATGCCGATAATGACCAGAATGTTAAAGACAGCTGACCCCACGATAGTTCCTACCCCCACATCTCCCTTTGTGATAAACACCCCTAAAAAAAAAAACAGGAAGGGAAAGAGTGACCCAAAGATCATCACCAAAATGTATCAAATGTGACCTCCTATGAGAAAAAAGGACTACATTTCTCCCTGACAATAACTTTATTCACTGTAAACACTTTTTGCATCTTTGGTTGATAACCGGTGGAGTAAAGATAAGATAAGATAAACCTTTTAGTTAGTTGTTACAGCAGCAAAAAAAAAGAGGAGTAGAATCTACAAAATAGCAAAAAGTTAAAAACAAACATATTTTCAGTAATTAAATATAAGAATAAATATACAATAGTAATAAAATAATACTAGGAATATACACTATCCACATGTTCACTTGTGGAAAGACAGAGTACAGTTTTTGTAAACACACACAGTGTGTCGCATGTTTGTGATGATGATCACTATGATACAGTCAGGTGAGACATGTCACATGTGAGTCATGTGGAGGTGAGGCTGTTAAACAGTCTGACTGCAAGTGGGATTAGCGACCTGCTGTATCGCTCTTTCTTGCAGTGTGGATGTCTCAAGATGTGAAGATACCTTTTATCTTAAGCTTGCAGAATGTACTTTACATTTAAACCTGAAGTCACGATGGTGATTTGTCAAAGCCAGACTCTTATTCCATTTTGATATTGACTATTTGGGGGGCACAATTCAGGATAATACAGTAAGCCCAGTTTTATGTTTGACTGTAATTTAGATAAATCTCCAATAGGCTTCTATTATCTCACATTTTTTTAAAATGTGCACTGTAGTTTGTGTCTGTTTGGTCTGACAAAAATGTATCTACTGCAGTGTTTTTTCAAACTCAATTCCGCTTTACCTAAACCAAATCAGATTTTTTTAAAACATCTGAGAACATCATTGCCAGAGAAGTTATGAGTAGGTTAGCTGGTAAACATTACACAAACAGTAAAACACTCTTCTCTTTGCATTTTTTAAACAAGTATTACGTCATCTTCTTTCTACACACACTTGACTCTGTCAAAACAAAGGGGAGCTTCATTAGATGGAGGGTAATCAAAGCTTATAGGGCTTAACCCTCATAATGTGTAATTGATTAGATGAGTGACACGCTTACCAATCAAAGATGTGAAGAGCTCAGGGGCGGAGCTTCCAGCTGCCATGAACGTTGCCCCAGCAACATCCTGACTGAGCTGAAGGTTCTGTAGGACAGACGAGTGTAAAACAGACTGCAGTCAACTTTCTTATAATCAAACAATCTTAAAGAAGGGTGACTGATCTTACAAACACGTCTATGTATTAGAAGTTTGAGATAACCAAAGACTTTCATTATTTTCTGAATAATATTTAAAACACATACATGATGAGCCACACTCATGGCAAAAGTTTTCTTTATTTTGATGAATTTAGGGACTGCAGTACGATTTACTTTGGATGATGTCTCCTAAAAAACTACCATCCCAAATTCTTTTGAGGTTTTTAAAAGAAAAAAAGAGAGAAAATGAATAACGCAGTAGCAATCTGTTGAAAATTGTTTTTTAAAAGATCTGTCTTCAGTTCAATTAAATTAACAAGAAGCTGAGGGCCAATGGCAGAGAAGACATAAGGTATATTGAGAGAGAAACGAATGTTTAATTGGCTTATGTCCCTTTCTAGTGAGTAAAGACAGATGTAAGAAACACATTTCTCAGGTTTAGAGTCGAAGATATAAAAAGGTTTCCCAGTAATCTTAATACCATGCTTCATCTCTATAAATGATTCTATACTTTGAACACATTCAATATGTTTTAATTAATACCTCTGATACTTTTTCCAGCGATGGCACAAAGTAAACGTCGCACACAATGGCCAGTGCAAGAAACATGTAGATAGCCTGTTTAAAAAAACCAGAGTCACTTTGTGTCTGTGAGTTTAAATGCAACAAAAGGAATCTTAAACTGGTAAACAAGCAGAGCTGACACTCACACAGAGAACATGAAGGAGCACTGCTCCGTGTCTCCTCTGCTCGAGAGTAAAGATGTCATCAGGAAAGTCACCGATAGCTGGAGAAGAGAATGGCAGAGAGTAACCTCATGATGTGTAGGCCTATGTCGAAAGAAATCCTTGAACAGGAGCTGAAATGATTGGCACATTCAATAAATATGTTGATGACACTGCGTCAGGCTTTAGAGTTGAGATCGGCATTTCCTTTACCAGTGAATGGAGAGAAAAAATCTGCAGATTAATCAGTGTGTGCACATGTATACATCTGTTAAGAGTGTGTTTTGAACGATGTGTATTGTTAAGGCGTTCACAACAAAAACAAGCAAGTGTTTTTGCTTGACTTCACTGTTTTGCAATTAAGCTTAAACAAATGCCACAACCCACTGCATCGTAAAAAAATTATGAGGCTGTACAAAACAGTAATCTGGATTGCTGCCTTCCTTCCTGAGTGAGTAAGTTTGGTTGCGAGTCAGGATATATGAAACCTCCACTTAAAAGGTCAGAAGTGTGACAAAAGTGGGAAACATTCTGCACAGAGGCGCCATTGTGCAGTTTGAGACATCACGTGTAGTGATGGTGTGGTATTTTTGACTACCTGTCACGTGGTTTTGTTTGCACACTCATCAAACTGTCTTTTTGCCTTAACAATTGAGATGTTTGTCTTGAAATATGCAATATTTAATGAATTTATTAAGTGGTAGACAATATAGGCCTATATGTAAGGCGTTTATGAGTTTACTGTACTGTATCTCACCAAAGCAGTGATTTTCTTGCTCAGCTCAAAGTATTCTCTGGAACTGATGAGAACATCTCTTCATCTCACATCAGACCACAAGATGCTTTCAATGTTTCTGTCTCTAATGAGCCAAAGAGATCCAAGGACATATGGAGGGGAAGAGAGGCCACTAATCAGGAGGTCATTACGACAAGACAGGCGCTTTGAACAGCTTCACATGCAGACGACAATCAGACCACAAATTTAGCATGGTTTCCTAGCAACCGGGTTCCCTCAAAGGCCCAGCTGTGTTTAAAGACCTAGATGTGCAGAGTTTAAAGAAATGAAAGATGAGGTTGACTGACGCACGAAGGAGACAGGCTTGGTTTAAACAAATAACTAAGGAGATGGGAGCCAAATTTTCCAGCCAAACGTGGTGTGAAGATCATCACAGTGACTACACACTCATTAGGCTACTGCATCCAAGCCAGTTAATGGTTAAAAAGCTCATCAAGCATTCAAATTACTTCACTTTTTCAAAAAAAAAGTGAAGTAATTAGAAAAAAAAGTGAAGTAATTAGAAAAAAAAAGTGAAGCATGTTCTGTTAAATCATTTCAGACTCATTTCAAAAGCGACCCCTCCCTCTCTGTTCCTCTTCCTCCTCTTCCTCTAGCACTTGTCACACAGTCACATAGTGGTAAAATGTCTCACCAGATGTAGAAATAGTGTTAGTATGGTTGGCCTCTTTCTCCTGGAGGAGCCCTCTTTTCAACAAGGAGATGTCATCCTCCAATGAGGGTCCATGTGCATCTACAGGGGGGGGGGTTGAGATGTAAATAGGATACATAGGAGACTGATTAAAAGTACCATCTATTTTACAATAGGCTTTATTTTTAGGCTTTGTAAAATAGGCTACAATCAATTGTTATAATCTTGACCAAATGTAAGGTTATCAACCAAGTCTGCTGAGCTTAAATGTACTCTTTCAAGTTTGTAATATAATCGCTCATTATTCTGCATTAGGATTTTAAATCAAATGCAATTTGTATGGTTGAGTGTGACAATAGCGAAGATGAATGAATAGATCTTTTGTCGTGCAGCACCTGTATCATGACTGAAGTGGAGGAGCCAGGCGGCAGCAAGCAGACTGACTCCGCAGACGCAGAAACGCGGGAGGAGGCGCGTCTGCCTCGGTCTCCTCGGCGCCTTCATCCCACCAGACGCCGCCGCTCTCCGGATCAAAACATGTCGCCTACGCCGGCTTTCAGTCCTTGTTGTCGCGACAGCCTCAGCTCACAGACTGGAATAGCGCTGGTGCTGTTGGATCCTTTCTCCCTGTTTGTCGTTTTTCCAGGTGTTTAAGGGCTCCAGGCACGACGCGCTATGTGTTCACTCGATCCGGCCTGTTTTCAGCATCTAAGTATCTAAGCATCCAGCTGCAACGATGTGTCCGCGTCCACAAACACCAGTCACACAAGGAAACGTCATAAAAAAAAAAATATCTCAGACTATATCACATCACTCTCGCCCTTTATCTGACCCACTCTTTATTATCCTCCGTCTGGGAGGAGGTGTTTTCCTTGATTCACAGATAAGACCACCAGAGAGCGTCTTCAGCAGGGTGGGGCGACTGGAGAGACATGGCATCACGGGAAGACATGGGAAGTCTCACACTGCTGTTTGTTATTTAAAAGGTAACAGGAAAAACAAAGATAAGAAGTATAATGGGAGGAAAACCTGATTATAATAACAAACGTAGACTTTTCTATTATTTATATATTTATTTTGATGAAGCATATGTCCTAATAAAATGATCCTATTGGTAAGTTTTGTCTCTGTGACTGTTTCTAGGACTGTTTTAATGTAAGCAACAGGGAAACAAATACAAACTACCTTTCCCCCCCTCACTGTCAACAGAAGAAATACGTTAATATTTATAAATAATTATATATATTTTGAAAAAGTGTGTATATATAGACACAGAGATGTGCCTGTTGATTGAATGAAGAGTTTGAATTAATTAAAAAGTATCTTTTGAATCTCAGAAAAGAAGAGAACTTTTATTGATTGAATGTGAGGTAGTCAAAGTTAGATGAGTAGTTGTCTGAAGAGTGAAAGTAAATTTTGATGTGGCTTCAGGGAGCAAGTCAATATTTGATTTTATTGTGATGAAGTTTATAATCTGCTAAATTAGACTTTCACAGATATGATCCTTAGCATTTCATTTAGAGGCATACTCAGAAAAGTACAGCAACAAACCCCCTAATAAATGCTGAATAATTTAAATTCCCCCAGCTCATGAGCTAAATAAAAAAAGACACAAAACTAAACCCTCTGCCTTATCAGCTACTGAATAGTTGAGAGAGTAAAACAGTTACAAAAATCCAAATCAGGCGGATAAATGTAGTTCACATGTTTATAAGAGGGAGGTTGAGATCAAATTGGAGGTAAGGCTCCATAATGCACACTGCAGTAAGGCTGCAAAATCAGACGAGCACCACTCCACAAGGTGTTGATGGAAAAAAAGTTTCCTGCGCGGCTTCCTGAGGCCACAAAGACCAAAAAAATGAGCATGAAGACAAAGAGCAGGAACAGTCCTGCTCTCTGAAGTGATGTCCCCAAGGTACCTGTATAGCTTAGACAACAGACAAGACAGAGAGACAAAAATGAACAAAGTAAAAAAGTAAAACAATACACAAGGTAGTCTACAAGCTTTCACAAATCCCATTTTAAATGTGTCGGGATGTTAGGTGATGTCTGTCTGAGGTACCTTTTGCTCTGAATGTCTGCTGTGAGATTTGGAGGTTGCAGCAGCTCCTCAGCCTCAGTTTCCTCCTGCAGGAACATCAGCACACATCACTAATGTTACAATATTAACATCTCCAGCCATTCAGCGGCTTTCTGACATAAAGGCTCTGAATCTTTTGTAGTGGTGTGATCTAGTGGTCACTTTTGGAAGTACAGACTCTTTAACTAAAATCGACACAAGTCCTTCAATAAATTCTCCCTCATTGATGAAACTGTTCTTGGTTGTGATTCAACTGCACCATCAGGTTTGAGGCTGAAACGTCTAGTGCTGTTGAGTTAACCAAATGATATCAAAGTTGACTCAACGCCTCTTATAAACACTTTCAACACAAAAAGAACTTGATCACAGGAGGGTTGTAATATACTGCATCAGTTTGAACCATGTGTTCCTGTTCAACTTACAGGCCTGAGATCTGTGGGGTCTGCAATGATGGTTTGCTCTTCATCTGAGGAGGCCAGTAGCTTCATTTCATCTGCGAAGGACAGAGGGGGATTGAGCCGTTCTCCCTTTTCTCTCACCGCATCATTCAGACCAGGGCTGGTAAAAAAAAAAAAGAGGGCACAAACACAGTAGAGTGCAGTCACAAACAGATGTCACCAGGAGGTCATAATATTCTTTTCAAGTAACAGGATTTTGTCTGTCAGAGTTTACAATGAGGCATCATAAAGTCTGTCCTCCAACTGCGTCCTCAGCTCCTGATTAGTCAGCCTGAGTTCCTGAAACAGAGAATCAGAGACAGCTCATAACATTAAGATTTTATCTGTCACATGAAAATACCTGTGATTACTGCGCATGTAAACAGGAACAATGACCATTAACCACCTATTTTCACAGAAAGGTCAACTACACCGTTTACAGTTTACAAAGTGTTAGGATTTCACACGACTGTCACTCTGTGGGTGGAGTGGGGTTAAGTCCCTCTCATTAATTAGATATAGTTGTGAGTGATGCAGAGCCGATATATGATCGAGAATGTGTCGCAGGTATTTTACCCAAACCTGTCTAAATGATTTAATTGAATGATTGAGTATTTATCAATATTGAGTCCTGATTATATTCTTCCTGTATGTCCGTTTACTGTTGAGTGCTTCTCTTCCACCTCTGTTCATCTTTTGAGCGGATTACATTTGAAATTTCTCTCATGAAGCTGGAAAAAATGGCCCCTGAAATTCTACTTTTCGTCAATATTGATGGGACACAGACACTCCAGATTTCGACTTCCGTATTTGATTTTTTTTCCTTTTGCCTAATTCAATCCCAAATGAGTGTTTTTTTTAGTTTGAGCAATGTTTATGAGGAATATGAAGCTACCTCACATGTTACAACAGACAGAGTATGAAAACCGGCTGTTTCAATGCATCTAATTTAAACATTTAGTCTTTCATTATTAACAGAGTATCAAAAGATGAGCTTACCTTGATGATGTTAGAACATTCTTCTACCAATTCTTCAGAGTGCTGCAACTGCACATTTTTCTACCACAAACACACACATGTGAAAACATGTGCTGCTGATATAATGAAACATACAGACTGTCAAGATAGCCAAGTTTGACTTAAAGAGAAGGAGAAGGTCCCTGTTATTACCTGATGGATAACCTCTTCCTATGCAGCAGGCCTAACTGAGCATCTTCCAATCCATACTGAAGACGGACATAACACAATAAATGTTGATTTATAATGACTTAAACAAACAAGTCTAGGTCAAACAAAGAACAAAAAATCATCTCAAACTGAACTTGTGATGTTACCTCGAGGCTTCTAACAGAATCCTTGATCTTGCTCAAGTTCTCCTTGTCCTTCTCTTTATCCTGTTGGAGGATCTTGAGCTAAAATGGTTAGGATGACATTTTAATTACACCTTTTAAATGATTTTATTACGTCTCACTTTTGTTTATCTTGACAGGTTAAAGTTGTGTGAAAAGTAACAGACATACACTTATGGTTAGTTTCTTATTTTGGTCCTTCAATGTGACAGATTCCTTTTCCTGCGCAAAAAACAACAACATAAAAACAAACACCACATTGATCATTTTGAGAAGTTAACAATGACAAACATCAGCATAATGAACTGTTTATCCACCATACATTAGTATTAACATGATCTGATTGATATCTAGTTCTTGTTTTTTAGATGGAGGTGATATTTAACAGACTGTGAATGCATAGATTTTAATAACTAATCACTCTATCAGCTTTGCTGACAAATGGGGCAGTGTGTGCAAAATGGTAAATGGACTTCAGCTTGCACTGTACAGCACTTTTCTAGGCGCCTGACAACTAAAAGCACTTTTACACAACAGGTCACACCTACCCAGTCATGCCCATTCACAAAATGATGGCAGAGACTGATATGTAAAGTGTCCATCAGTATTAACTTTTTTGCCCAAGGACACATTGGACATGTGGCTGCAGGAGCTGGGGATCGATCCCCAGATTGAACTTCCGGTTAAGAGAAAACCAACTCTCCCAACTGAGAGACAGCCGCCAAAAAGTTGTAGAGTCTCAAAAAACAGCTGACAATGTAAATAAAATAGGAACCTTTTGAAGCAAAATAACATTAATGCACCATCAGGTATACCAGATCTTAATCAGATTGGTGTTGAAGTGCTGTATCATCAAGGTTTTTTTCTTTGGATAAGTAACAATTGTAAAACAGAGCAAATTTGCTATTACTAGGGAGAAATATCAACATTGAATGCAACATCATATTAACATTGTTCAATATTGTATTATGGTTGAATATATTCCCAAAAAATAATAGTTATTCATTGTTACCCACCAAAGCCTGAAACTTTTTTTCACTGCATCTCTTTGCATTGAAGTCATCAGCCAAGAGGGACCTGCAAGGTTCTGCTTCAACATGCTGTGCTGTGTTGATGATCTTCTCAAGGCTGCAGGCAAAAACACACATTTACACTGTCTGGAAAGGTTCCACATAACAATGTTAAAGCATGGCTTAGGTAACCTAAATACAAAAAGGTTCTGACATACATTAAAAACCTAAACAATTACAAAGCTGTAATTAGTTCAGGGTAGAACCTAAGAGGTAACAATATATGAGACATGTAGATGTGGTTATCACATTCTGAATTCCTGGAGTCCTAGAGGACTCTGCCTATATATAGCAGTGGAGAGAATTAAGTTATGCATAATTTAACTTTCCCTGGGGAGTTCAGCTCAAACTTGAACAAGCACAGGTTTCACTGGAATGCATCATTATTTATCATGGCAGCAAACACCAGAGCCCAGAGGGATCAGATATTAAGAGATTAAGTTAAATCTAAAGCTGGCCATTGTGGTTACTCACAAGGGATACATATGAACATGTAAAGAAGAAAATGTTTCATTTACAAATTATTCCATGAAAGTAACAATGCTACCTGTGACAAAGGCTGCAGATAGATCAAGCACAGTTATGGATGATTAATCCACGTAAAAGTATGAGAATGATCAGTATAGTAGTACTAATAGAAGTTGCAGTTCAGTTTGATAGTCATAAAGTTTAGGAGACAACTCATATGATAGTTACATTTTCACTTGTTGATTTAGGGCAGAGTTCTCTGAGCGCAGCGCTGCCATGTCATCATCTGCCACATCCAGCCAGAGCCTCATCTTCACATTTAGTTCCCTCAACTGGCTCTGACTGTAATCCAACTCCGCTATCTTCTCAAGCATCTCCCTCTGTGTGCTGAGTACACACACACACACACAAATACACAGATAAAAAAAAAAGTTTAATGTATTGCAATTAAGTATTTCAAACAACCTGTTTATAAATGCAATGGTTGGCCAGTGAACATACGGGGCGCCGATTGTAAAGTTGCGCACACTACAAATAACAACAACATTTCTCCACATTTAGCCCTAAAACATCACTTTTTATTCACATTTAGAGAAATGTTTGTGAACTTTGTCATATTTACTTTTGTGAATAAAAATGTAAGATAATTTCATTGGCAAATAAAAATGTTAAATATTATATCTAAATGTTGACTGTTTTTTCTAAATGTTAAATGTCATATATAAATGTCCTGATTCTAAATATTTAACAACGTTTCTAAACATTTAGTTTACATTTTAAATATTGAAGATTGTAAATATTTATAATCAAAGCTAAATATATAGAATATAAACTAAATATTTAGCAACGATTTCTAAATATTTAGCTAGAATTAAAATAAATAAAACATTTCTCTAAATGTGAATAAAAAGTGATGTTTTTAGGGCTAAATGTGGAGAAATGTTGTTATTTGTAGTGTGCGCAACTTTACAATCGGCGCCCCAGATGAACATAACTCACATCTTTTCCAGGTGTAAATCCATTCTGCTGCCTTTCTCCTGCCTGGTGCTTGAGATCAACAAAAAGGTCCAATGTACATACTTATTCATCCATTAGCATACACTTATTCTTAAGAGACTAGGCCTTTCTAATTACCAAAAGACGCAGATGTGGAAATATAAACGCTACATTAGCCAAAAGGCAGCATTTTTATTAAATTGCTGAAACCAATTTTAAAAATAGTCTAAATACTTTTTTTACAGTGCTTAAAGGTTTTCAAACTTTGGTAACTAGCATTTTAGGTTTCAAACACATAACATTTTATCCATACAATTAATTAATACAACCATTTAGCGTATACAGATGTAACTTAAACTAAAGCAGGTCGATCTGCTCTCATCTTTACACTGCGACACCTTCAACACACCGTCAGCATGTTGATTAGCCAGCTAGGAAGCTAACCTTAAGTTACTGAAACCAGTCGAGCCAAACATTAAAGAATTAGTTAACAAACTGCTAACATGCTATGCTTTATACATTCGTAAAAAATATATATATATTACCACTGATGAGGTCTAAATTATTGGTTAAAGCAGGTCAAGTTTGGTTCTTGCTGCCAAATGGAAACCGCGCAGGTTACCATGGAGACAGTCAGTCACGGTTTGGAGGAGACAGATACTGAACCGGAACAGACTTCCTGATAATACTTTCATGTGCAAGGATTTTAACAGCTTGTTCAATAAGTTCCTTCTTAATTAGAGTCTGAGGTCTTACAATTCAATGACACTTTAGATGTAAAAATGTTGTAAATGGTGTATTTATAAAAAAAAAATTAAAAAAATGTATGCAAGTGAAAATAAAAATCATCATCAAACATGTTTTAATTAATGCATTTCATTATCAAAATGCTCCCTTAGGACAATTCATCGAACAATTTTCAGATAGCAAAACCAAACATCAAATGGCGTGATTCATATGTCAAAGAACAAACGAAATGAAACAGAAATATATATTGTGCAAAAAAAAATTGTCATGCGTGTAAATATATTCACCACATTTTAAGGCAAGAGATCAAACTTACTAAAGCAACAGCAGACGAGAGAGAAAAAGGACTTTGATATGCGGTAACTTCTGTTATTTATAGTGCTGCAGAGTACATTGGCTGTGTCCAAAATCCATACTTATATAGCAGACTTTGAGTAAGTATGCAGTGTGTATGTATCAGACAATTGACACAATATGTATTTGTGACACAGGTTGGCTAAACAGCTTAAGAAACTGCTAAGAAAACAAAAATAAGAACAATTTCTTTGTATAAAACAGTACATTTTCTGTATTCTCACTGCCAAAGAGGTTTTTTTTTTAAAGATATACAGTATTAACAGTGGTTGAGTCAGAGCACATTATGTTGTAGGCCAGGTTGATTTGGTAAGTAGAAGTCCCTTGCTGAGTGAAAGCTAGACAACATAACATGAACTACGAGGAAAGACTCTTACAGTGAAGTCTTTGGGTAGCTTCAAAAATGTGTATCCTGTAAACCAGTGGTTCTCAACTCGTCTAGCCTCAGGACCCACCCACGGCTCCTCCATGAGAGACCACGACCCAAATTTCTGATATCTTACAACCAATCAGATTTATTTAATGAAAAATTGTGCAGTAGACTTTACAAAACAGGGGATGGAGGCAAGAAACTGAACAAATCAAACAGCGCTCTGTAGACTTTTTGACACCGTATTTATCTTAGCTACACATTCGTGACCCACTGAAAATGGCTTCGCGACCCACTTTTGGGTCCTGACCCACCAGTTGAGAACCACAGCTGTAAACTGCAACTCTAGAAGTCGAAACTCAATTTCTACTGTGTATTTTCTGATCTCCTGTAGTTTTTAAGACATCACTTTGAACCCCTTCAAGAACACTGATAGCACAAGCACATAATGACACTTGTAGTTTAGGCACAACTGCAGATATGAGGCTAATGATGGTGTATTTTATATATTCAGGAACAACGCAACTATTATCTTCAAATTGAAAAGCTCAATTAAGCAGTCAGTGTCACCAATTCCAGAAGAATAAATAACCCTAGAGTCAGAGAAAGTATTTGTTGCTTGGTGAAAAGGATTTAAAATCATAAACTTTTTTATAATCAAAAAAATACATTCTCATTTCAGTGCTGTTTGCAAACTTTTTCAGTGCTAAGTATTCCAGAAGAACACTTGAGGTCAAACTCAATCACAGTACACCCACAATGTGTATATGTCTCTTCCCTGATGCTGCTCCCAAAACATGAACCATCACCAATGTAAAGTTACATGGCCTTTACATGACCAGGCCGTCAGCTGTTACCGGGTGGGGTCCAGGGATCCAGTGACCCGGAAGTTTATCCCATCTCCCGGGAGAGGTGATTGGATGAGCGGGGAGAGCCAGCAGATGTACCAGCGAATGCCCAGAGAGTGGCTCAGGTTTCCAGGGAGTCCCAGGCTGTAGGGTCTACGATTTGAATACCACTCCCTGGTGGTCTGTCCCCGAAACATTAGGAAGAGATGGAAGAAGAAAAAGGCAGACACCAGTAGGAAGCCCACCACGCAGGTGTCAGCGATGAAGGCGAAGGCAAAGGCTTGCGCAGAGACCTGGCCTTGAGAGAGGAAGAACGGCAGCACTGGTTTAATCACTGCCATTGAAATGTGTGACAATTAATAAAAGGCACAAACCATTTCCTACCTGAAACGAGCATGATCCAGGGTATGAGCAGCAGTAGGACGCTGTGTAAAGTCACACCCTCCTTCAATATGACAATGAAGACCTCTGCATTCATCAAGGTGGCATACAGGAGCCCAGACCACATAAATAACAAGCAGCTCAGAAAGTAGCGGTAGTTACGGAAGCCCACGCAGCGGCCAAAAAAGACGCAGTGGTGATCTCGCCGCAGCACGCAAACATTGCAGTCATAGCAGTGGGAGCAGCGAGGCGGAGTGTGGGTCTCACACGTGTAACAGTACCTGTGTTAGAAAAAGACAAAAAAAAAAAAAAATGTATCAGTCAAGGTCGAAATTTCTCCTAAACAACCTTTCACAGATGAAACTGGCTATCAACAAGCATGTTTGATAAACCTGACTGGAAAAGGTAGATTGCGAGGACATCCGGTAAAGTGTCTTAGCTGTGGTCACTTTATGGACCCTAAATCATTAGTGACATATTTTACACATGCCAGAAAACTGTAATAATGACTAGGTGTTTAAGTTGTTGAGAGAAGTTAAAATTCTAGTCCAGAACAGCGTCTGAGCAGCAAATAAGAGATTTAGTAAAATTATTGGAAACCTGTTATAACCTAATGATACAACTTTCGGAGGCTCAACGCGACAGGAAATATCGACTAAAATGATATTAGTTGGCCTAAACTTCTCTGTCCCTTATAGAGTATGTAAAGCAGGCTACTAAGTTAAAGGGCACTAGGGTCTAAACCAGGGACGGGCAACTTTGGTCACAGCGAGGGCCACATTCATTTAATTCTCACTGCCGGGGGGGGGGCCAAATTGTAGAATACAAAAAAACGATTATGTCTCAAATTTAACTCAACATACACCAGTGATCAAACATTATCATGGACATATTTCTGCTTTTCGTGATTTCATGGCAGATTTCATCATGTTTTTCTTCATGTTTCCAATTAATTGATGTGTAAAAAAGTTAACCTGAGGGCCACGTTGAGGGTTGATGGGGGGGCCGCCAATTGCCCACCCCTGGTCTAAACTATAACTGTATGTTGCAGTAAAACAATTTGTGTGAACTGGAATTAAAGGGCCTTGCTCAAAGTAAATCCACTTTTGTCAGATGAATTCATTCAACACTGATAAACACAGTGTTGTTTGCTATATTTTCAGTACAGTCAGGTCTTTTCCACGTCTTAAAACAACTGCTCCTTCCTTACCTCCACCCCTGTCCCATGCCTTCTCCTCCCAGGAACACCCCTTTGATACTGGGACTGGTTCTGAGGAACAGCATGGCGTTCCAGCAGATGTTAACCAGCATGAAGTACTGGGCCAGCAGGTGGACGGCTTTCCACCAGGCGGACCACTCCGTCTTCTTCTGGTCTGCCTCCAGCGGAGCCTCGACCAGGACCAGGTAGCTCACCTCCCCGGTGATAGAGAAGACCAAGAAGGTGTTGAGGAGTACGGGGAGGTGGTGACACAGCCTCTCCACCCTGCAAAAAGCTTTACTCGCTAAGCTCGTCATGTTCCTACCTCCCTGTAATGATGAAGACAGCTCAGTGGGCGATGAGCTCACTGGAAGGACTGGTTTGACAGACGCACGTTGATAACCTTTTACTTTTTCTTTTCTAATTAAACCTGATTTAAAAACTCCTCATGTCATGACTCATACCCCAATATGTCTTCGGGATGAATTTTTAAAAGGTAAAAGTTGAACCGAGTCGCTTCATTTACTTTAAACTTCACTAGCCACCACTGAGCTACTGGACGGAATCAAGCTACTGTTAATGGGTGTTACATGAAAATACATCCGTAGTGCAACAACATACTTTGGTTGCGGTTCCTTACTGTGACACCTCCCAAATATTCAAATATATCCCATTTTGGACAGGAATATTTATAGTTGTATATAATTTTAGATGCAAATATTTGTGCATACTGGTGTAACTCTTACAGCAGATTTATCCCAGAGGAGTTACGGCCCCTTGCTTTGATGCAAAAACAATACTTATATTCCTTCTTTACATTAATTTGCCAGATATAAGTTAATATGAAAAATGTGTGTCTAAATTATTGCCATTTTATTGCAAAGGTCGATTCCATCCACAGAGGTGCCCACTTCTGGTTTGTAAGAGCCCAGCAATTGTCCATGGTCACCAAAACTGCCTGCAACAGTTTTACTGCACTCGTGTGATTTGCAAGTATTCTTGAGAATTGAATGGCCTTAAAAATCTGTCACTACAGTTTAACCACATTAACATGCCCATGTGTGGATGATAGCATTGCCTCTTGTCCCTCCCCCTAAAAACACAGACCTTAATCCCTGATAATCTCTACATCCACTGAAAGCCTGCAGTCATGGCTGCACAGAAGGAGAATTTACTGTCTCCTGGAAATCTGACGTGCACAGAAAGAGACACTTTCTCAAAACAAAGAGAGCACAATCTAAAAAAGAGGTAAGACTTTTTAATGGTGCCACAGGGTCAGGTTGTGAGATTCTGGTTTTGTACTTTTTTCCGCAATAGATCTGGATTTTGACAGGGATTTGTAAAGCTAAAAGAATTACTCTTGTGCATTCTCTGCAAAAAAAATAAATATTTTTTTCATGTGAGCAACAGTGTTAGTAATGTCAGCTTGAAAGTTTGGTTCTGGCATTTCAACCGCTTGTGAGTGGATAAGAGTGTTAAGCATGTTTAACATGAGTTTTTGTTCTGATGCACTGTCTCCTACATTCTCAACAGACTAGTGATGTTGCAAGCTGACCTTTCAACTGCTCAGAGTATCCAAAATCTGTAAGTGCATAGACAAAAGATGGCAACATGCTTGTATTGTGCTTCTGTGGGTCTTAATGTTTTTAAATCTGTGTTGTTATGTATATGTTACATGCAGCAGGGCGATGCAGCTACAGCAGCGTGGCAGGAGCTGGAGGAGAGAGAGCTAAAAGCTAAACACCACAACAAGCAGCTGCTGCAGCAATTTGAAGAAGCCCAGGATGCACTGAGAGAGATGTTGACCCTTACTGCTAACATGAAAACTATTCGGGTGCTGAGACACATACAGACAAGAATGAAGTATCTTAGGAAAGCAAACCACTATGTTGTTTACAACAAAGTGTACTTCAGTCCTGCCTATACGACACTGACCCACCTTTTGACCTTTTACTCCCTGCAGACGGAGTATGAACGGTACCTGAAGGAGAACTCTCCCCGCTGGCAGCAGCAACTCAAGAAACAAACACAAGTGGCTCAGAAGAAGGTAGAGAATTCATTGTTATAGAATATCAGCTGTTTCTATCTCACACTGTCAATGTGTACAAGATTTACATTGTTCCTGTTTGTCAAAAAGTTATGAGACAAGGACTACTCACTTTACATGTACAGTACAAGGGGTTCCTGTCGACTGCATGACTTTATACGTAATGAGATTGTTTTTCATGAACAGAAGATGGACGAGTATTTGAGATCATGTCTGAAGAACACAGAAGCAACGACAAAGTCCTCATCTGATCAACCTTTACCTTCACAAGGTTTGTCCTCCTTCCTCGCAGACTTTAAACTCAAGTTAATAAAAAAATATTATGTTTATTCCTGAATTTTAAATTGTGAGTTCAACACTTTGACATCCAGTATTTAGAGCAGTCTTTGATTATTGAAGAAGAGAGTTTTTCTCAGAGTTCCTATATAAGAATCACACACTAGCGTTGTCATTAAACCATATTTATAAACTTTGATATGATACTAGTAAAAATCAAACAATATCAATAGCTTTTGATACCACAACAACAAAACAGCCTATACGTGTGAGACAACCAATCATTGGGAATTGCTTCACAAATAATTTGGCAACCTTCTGGTATTTGTGCAACTAAGACTGTACTCTCTCTCTTTTTCTCATGGTAGCTTCTGGTTAGGTTAAATATATGACTGACCTTTAGTTGTTGTTTTTTTAAGCTTGATTCTATTAACCAATAAAGTAACAGATCGTTTTAAAACACAAAATATCAAAAGGTATCAAAATATCGCAAATGTTTTTGTCATTAAGAAACTTGAACTTACATAGATCTTTGATTGCAGGCCTTTATGCAAAGACACAAAACATTGCTCCGCCTCAAAGTCACAACAACAACAACTTGGGCTTCAACCAAGATGGCTCCCCTCACCTCCCCTTCATGCCATCTTCATGGCTGACTCACCCTCAATACCAGACAGCTAGGTTTCCCACCAGAGCACCGTATCAACCTCAGCATTCCCCTCATACCCCACCCATCTACCCACATTTCCACCCATTCCCTCTCCCGCACCTTGCCTCCACATCGGGTCATTATTCCCCAGGCTGGGGGTCCCTGCAGCCAGACTATCCCTGGTCCTTGACTGCGGGTGCAGCTGGACTCCCCTCACACTCTGAGGCCCTGTTGGATCAGCGCCACACAGAGGAGCTCCCTCCTGAGAGGGAGGACAGCATGTGGAGGAGAATGCTGACACAAGCAGATCATCAAGCTCACAAAGGGGAGGAGGTGGTGGAAGCAGGGGGAGTCATTTATCCCAGGAGCTGGATGTCAAACCAGGTGAGCATAAGAACATTTGATTAGCCGAACGTGAGTGTGATCGTAGGCGTATTCTAGACTGTGAATGTGTACTTCCTATTGACTCTTCAGTGTCTTTGTTCATACTGTGCCTTAAGTCCGTCTGTCTAGCAGCCATGCAGAGAGCAGTGAAAGCAGCAGGGAGTCTGATCAGGTGGGCAGAGAGAACAGGAGAAAGAAGAAGAGGGAAGGAAGATCGCAAAGTTCCTCCTCAGGAAGAGAAGCACCCGGATCTCAGGAGTAAGTAAATATTCTGGATGGATAACTTTATGTTTGTTAAAAACCAATTCACTAACCCCTTATTCTGAAAAAACTGGAAATGACCTGTCAAGCTTGTTCCCTCTGTCCCTGCTTGTCTACCCCATTACATATTCAGCCAGCCAGAGAAAAGCCCAGGGAAACAATTACAAATGTTGCTCCCAATTTACTGACCTATATCCCTTAGAAGCCTCTGTCAGTCGGTCAGTCATGTGTTTTCTGAAGTTCCTTTTAATTCCCAGGTACTTCTTACAGTGAAGTTGTTCTCTATGTTCCAGACAATTCTCTTTTTACTCACACACACACACACACACACCTTGAGATACACTACGCTCCACAGCTACTGTGATTTCGAATACAAGTTTTTGGAATAAAACAGAAGATACTTGTGCCCTAATGAAAAGTGTGCAGCGGGGAAACCCCTCCTCTCAGTTACTCTATGCTGATGTATCAGTTACCTTATCTAACATCCCACACGGTGCTAATGGCACCCACAACCCAGCGGTGTAGATAATGGGCAGCAAGAGCCAGGACATCACTTTGGTTATCAAGAGGGCACCTCCGTTCACTGGTGTTCTGTCAAGTTAGGCCAACGACACATCAGGAAGGCTGGACAAATAGCGTCCAGCGTCCCATTAATTCCATCTGCTCCCACTCCTCTATGAACCCCCCTCCCTCTTCCTCCCCCAACATGCTACCTTATCTTATTCTTTTTCTCTTCATTCCTCTTCCAGTGCATCTTCGAGTTCCAATGCAATCATCTTCGCTGCAGCCACAGCACCTCAAAGCTCCGAAAGTGACGCCTCATCTGATAAACGCAGCAGCAGAAGGACCAGGAGAAGTCGGGGACTTGCTGTTGGATCACCAGGGCTTGAGGAGGTGATTAAAGAAGGGAGCAGCAGGGGAACGAGAGGTGATTCAGGGAGCCTAAAGAAGAGAGTCAATCTATAGGTGAAGAGGTGGAGAGTCATAATGAGGAATCTAGGAGTGAAAAAGCAGATATTCCTGAGTCTGGATCCCAGAGGGAGGAGGAATCTGTAAGTGTTAGTGTGAAGACTGAAAAGGGAAGTTTAAAAGGAGCAGAGAAGGAGGAGAATGAAAGCTCTGAACACAGCAGTGTGGGAGAAAATGTAGAGCTGGAGGAGGAGCAGGAGAAAGATCCAGGAGATGGGGTAGATGATGTCGAAAAAGAGAACGGTAAGACGGATGAAGAGCAAGAGGAGAGGGATGAGGAAGATGAGGCTTCTAATGTAAAGAATACAACTGAGGAAGATGATGAGACAGGAGCAGAGGACAAGATGGAGGAGCAGGATTGTGAGGAAGAGGCCGGGTTGAAGAACGGAGACGATGGGCACAGGACGCAGGGTTCTGCGTCTTCTCAAGGTGAAGACGTGGATGAGAGTGAAAGAGGTGAGGGCAAAATGGACGAGGATGGGGAGTCCGACGAAGAAAGAGGAAGTGAGGAGGGAGAAGATCAAAGAAGTGACAGGGCAGGAGACCAGAGGAAGGAGATTCAGAGGACAGCATCATCGCACCTCAAGACAACAGGTAAGGTGTTCAGACAATAAATGATCTATTTAGCTAATGAGGGCGGCCTGGATTTGATGTTATCTCGATTTTCAGAATTAAAAAAAAGATCTATGTGATTCCTGAGGCAGTCGAAGATGAAGACGAGGATGATGAGGGGAGCATAACGCAATCGTCTGACAAGACTCAAATAGTTTCAGCGATGAGGATATCGAGCATCTACTCGCGCCTCAAGAGCAATCAAATAAAAAACAGTGAGTTCTTTTTTTTTTTTCCTTCCTCCGATGAGAAAACTTCCGCCTGAAATACACCTCATGTTGCCTTTTAACTCTTTTTTTTCCCCAGAGCAATGGAGAAGAGCGCTGCTGAGAAACCCAAAGGTACCGTACAGTCATCACAATCACTAGGTGTTTTGAATATA